TAACTAATACTATATTTATTTAGGGCTAATTGAAATTGCTTATTGATATATTCTCTACCTTTATTAGTAAAGAACTGTTTAATTTTTCTTTTTGTATAATTTTCTATAAAGACCTTAAAATCTTCGAATGCTTTATAAGTATTATCTTTGGAATATAATAGGCTAATCCAAAGATATCGAGATTTTTTATCTAGGAAGGTGATATAATACCTATATTTATTATAGGTAGGTGGTAATAGACTACCTAAATTACTATATATCCTATCTAAAATATTAAATTTAGTAGGATTATTTGACTTCCTATATATATATCTATTATCTTTAGATAAAAGATATACTTTACATTTTTTATTAAGGAAAGCCTTAATATATTCTAGGGTTATATTAATCCCTAGGGCCTTTAATAGAATTTTTAAGGGCTATATATTAATATACCCTAATCTAATATACCACTTTTGTATATTATCCACTATATTACTATCTATAGTCCTTTTAGGAATATAGCTATTATTACTATTAGTAGGTATACTAGGTTGATTAGTCCTAGTAGCTACTATAGTATTTATAGTTCTTTGTAATATAGTGGTTTTTATATAGTATAAGTTATCTCTCTTATTAGCTATAGTAACTATTTTCTTTAAAGGTGTATATAAGTATACCTTATTTTTTATACATAGGGCTATTAAATTAGATAACTGGTGTATACTAATAAGATTAATACCTAGATTAGTTATATAGAAAATATTTCTTAATAAGTATATATATCCAGTATTAGATTTTATATATATATCACCCTTATAGGTTGCTTTAATAGTATTAGCTTTACCCTACTTTACTATAGTAGTGGTAGGTTCAGCAGAAGAAAGATATTGCAATTTATATATAGTACTAATAGTGGCAGCACTATCAAGAATAAAATCCACTTTTTCTTTTATAGGATTTAATCCTATATTATCTAGTGGTTTTTCAGTCTATAGTTTAGTACTATATAATAATAGAGGATATACCTCTTCTATATTATTATCTATATCTAGTAATTAATTATTAGTTTGATTATCAGTTTGATTATTAGGCTGATTTTCAATACTAGTATATAGCTCTTTATCTGATTTAGGTAAATCAGATAGATTAGATAGTATATCTATATCTTTAGTAGATTTAGGGGTATCTACTATATTAGATATAATCTAATCTTGTGATTCTAGCTGTTTAGGAGTCCTAGGGCTTATTGAATTTATAGTTTTAGCCCTAAAGGATTCCTTAGTAGTAGAAATAGGGGGTTTAATAGTCTTTTTAGCCCTTTTACCTTTCGGAATCCAGCCCTTAGGAGCTAGATTAGGAAATAATAGCTAGTAGGTATTAGTATTATAACTAATAACCTTATAGTGTTGGTAGTATTTTCCTTTAAAAGGCTTATTTTTATACGATTTATAATGCTTATATTTAAGCATTATAATATTCGTATAATGACTACCTTTATATATAGAAGATTCCCTACCCCTAGCTTTATCAATTAAGCTAGAAAATAAGGTTTCCACTGTATATAATTTAGGGTCATTTCTCAATAACTGGGTTATGTTTTGAATAAACCCTTTATAGTCATTATTTAGACTATTAAGAACCTAGGCTATCACTACCTAATTAGGTAGATTAATACCTTTACCCTTAAGGTTATCTACTAAGGTTTTAACCTTATTAAGATATTCTTCTATTGAATTAAAATCATTTAATCTAGTGTTAAAGAAATCTTTTAGGGTTAAATATTTAGTAGTAAAACCCTTAGGGTTATATAGGGCTTCTAAGCGAAGCTAGGCCTTATTAGCACTCTCTATATCTTTTAGATATAGGAGGGGCCTATTATCACAATAAAGCTTTAAAACAGATATAGCCTTATTGTTTTTAACACTAATAGAAGGAGTTTCTATAGGTATATATAGGTTATCCTTTATTAGGGCTGCTTTGACCCTAATAGACCATATAATATAGTTCTCCGAGCCCCTAAGCTTAGGGAGATATATCTTATCTAGGGAGGCTATAGTAAGATATATAGTAAATATCGGAGATCAGGTATATATATAGTATACTATATATAATAGTATACTTATATATATAACTCACTATATATAGTAATATATACTATATATAATTGTGAGAATATATCACTATATACTTAAGAGTATATAGTATATTACTATATTGAGTAATATAGTATATTACTATATTTAGTATCTTACTAAATATAGTAATTCGGAAATTATTCGGAGAAGGCTCGGCAATATATCGGTATTTCCTATTTAGGAAATATATAGCAAGCCGGGCTCATAACCTATAAGCACTTTAGCAGAAATAATATTATAGCCTAATAGTAGGTTATAATATTTTGTAGGGGAAGGTGTATTAGGTAAGCTTTATCTTATATAATATTATATTATATAAGATATAGAAAGGTTTATACTTAGCTTAAGTAGATAATAATAGGTGAGAGGTAAGAAAAGTTGTATTGATTGTTATTCTAGCTAGGAATCCTTCATTCCTTATATAGGCAAGCTCTAGCAGTATAGAATATCATAGAAAATCATTAATAATAGAATGACTTCATTATGATATCCTAGATTTATGGCGATATATTGTGAGTCATAATATAGTTTACCGTAAATAATATATCTAAGGTTCTCTTAGATACTACCGGTAAAATATATATCTTATCCTCACACACCATAATATATCTTACAATTACTATTATGCTTACAGGATTAGTATATAATTACTTAGGTAATGACCTATATATAAAGGGCTATTCTGATACTAATTAGGGTAATAATTTAGATCAACGAAAATCTACGTTAGGCTATATATTTAGCCTAAGCCCTAATATAGGGATTAATAACCCTATTAGTTAGAATTCTTAACTACAAAAAACAATAGCAATTAGTAGCTATAAAGCTAAATATATAGCACTAAAAGAAGCTACTAAAGAAGCTATATATCTAGCTAATATATTTAATTTATTAAATATAGAGCTAGATCTAGGATATACAAATAGTATACCTACTATTTTAGTTGATAGTGAATTAGCTAAGAAACTAGCTAAGAATCCAGAATTCCACAAACGATTAAAATATATTAAAATAATATACTATTTTATAAGGTAAGCTTTATTAGAAGGTAAAATCACTATTAATTAAATACCTTCTAAATATATACTAGTAGATTTTTTAACAAAAAATGTTAATAATATATTATATAAGGCTTTTACAGATCTAGCTAAGTTAGATACTATATAAAGACCTATAATATATATATATATATATATATATATATATATATTTATACTATATACTTATACTTATAATCCTTATAAAGATTATAAGGATTAAGGGGGTGTGTAAGTATAATAGTAATTGTAAGATATATATTTATATACTATAGTGTGTGAGGATAAGATATATATTTTACCGGTAGTACCTAAGAGAACCTTAGATATATTATTTACGGTAAACTATATTATAACTCACAATATATCGCTATAAATCTAGGATATTATAATAAAGTCATTCTATTATTAATGACTTTCTATGATATTCTATACTGCTAGAGCTTGCCTATATAAGGAATGAAGGATTCCTAGCTAGAAAATAATTAATTAATACAACTTTTCTTACCTCTCACCTATTATTATCTACTTAAGCTAAGTATAAACCTTTCTATATCTTATATAATACAATATTATATAAGATAAAGCTTACCTAATACACCTTCCCCTACAAAATATTATAACCTACTATTAGGCTATAATATTATTTCTGCTAAAGTGCTCATAATTACTATTATGCTTACATATTTACTACGTGGCTAACCTATAAATAGAAATTTATCCGATTTCTAGTGAAAGATATTACCTATTTTAGTAATTTAGTAAGTTCTCGCTCTAAAGGTTCTTATATTTAGCTTAAAGCGGAGCTAAATAGTGTAAATAGAGACCTTTTAACTATTTTTAATACAGTTAATAAGGTATTTATATAGTAGTAAGTAGGGATTAAGATTAAAATTAAATCTGATAAGATCCTTATACTAAAGATAGTAATATTCTAGCTATATAACTTAGTTAGGGCTTATATATCTAATTATACTATTAGATTAATCTATACCCAACGTGAATTAGCACTCTCACCTAGCGGAATTGGGCTATATTCTAGGTATTTCACTCACTCTATAGGGCTTCTATATAAGCACTACTTATCTAATCTTATCAGATTAAATACGCCTATCCAATTTAGCGATATCGACCTATTTTGGTATATTAAAACGATTCTAGGTAGTCAATTGGTCCCAATCCTCCCCCTAAGGATACCGTAGCCAAAACGGGACACGAATTGCCTATTTAGGCAGGAGGAGCGCCTAATCAAGAGGTAGAAGGCCCCAAGCAGGTGCTCGGCCTATGGGGAGAGGAATCATACGTTTAAAAACTACCCAATGCGGATAAATTGAGGCTTTTGTATATAAATATGATATATTACTATAGGAGATCTAATATATAAGGTTACCAGTCATGTGACCTTTATCCAATTTATTCCGATAGGGTACACCCTATAATCACATGATTACTAATAGGGTGCAATTGCTGATTTTTGGGGTGCAGGGATCAAAACCCGTGATACTCAGTGACTCTAGGGGTTTGTTGATTACGCGGAATACTCATAGGCGTGCTCAGTTCTACTCAGTGATCAAAAAGCGGCAAGGGGTGAGCACTAAAACGGAAAGGGAAAGCCATGTCCCGCGGCCTAAAATCCGATGTATATGATTTTTAGTGACTTTTAGTGACTTTTGGTGACTTTTGATTTAAATGAAAGAACAGATCAATTATCATTGCCCAGAAACGTCCACTGGCGAAAAAGTCTCTCTGTAGACAAATTGACCTGTGTGACCCCCCCTAAACCGGTCGAATAGACAGAATTTTCGGCCCCAACTGATTTTCTATGTCAAGTAAAATTTCTTTAGAAATGGCCAAAGATCAAGAAAATGCTTCCGAAGTCGACTCGGAGCGTCCCAAATGTTTCAACAGCACATTCCAAGAAGTTCTCTTCGTCTTGACTGCCACAATGGCCATTGGCCAGCAGTCATTCTTTCAGGGCTGCATCGTGGGAGTAACCGCATCGATTGGCAAAGATCTACACATGAATGCCGCTGAAATCACCTGGATCAATGCCGGTGCTTCGTACGTACAATTTTCTATATCGATGTCTCTCCAGGATTTTCCCGGGGGTTATCCGACTTTGATCTCGTCCCATTCCCCGTATACATCATATACGTATATCACACAGCATACACAACTAACCATGCATCCCCGGATAGTCTCACCAGCGGCGCCTTTCTACTTACCTTCGGGAAGTTGGCCGACATGTTCGGACGGAAGGTGCTCTTCATCATCGGCATGGCCGGTTTCACTTTCTCGCTCCTCATCGCGGGCTTCGCAACAAACGCCATTTATATGAATGTCTTCTCGGGAATTTTAGGGTTATTTGCAGCCGCTGTCGTCCCACCTGCGGTTGGCACCCTGGGTGCGACTTACGAGAAGCCCTCGAAGCGAAAGAACCTTGCCTTTGCCTGCTTCAGCGCGGGAAACCCGCTTGGATTTGTCGGCGGCATGATCATCTCCGGTGTCGCGGCGCAGTTGTATAACTGGCGCGCTTCTTTCTGGGCTCTCGCTGTTGTCTATGCTATCTTCACCATTTTGACCGTGTGGACGGTGCCGGCTGATGGGTTTGATAGGGCGCCTTTGAGCGTGAATGCTTTGAAACAGTTCGATCTTCTTGGAATGATGTTGGTTATTGTTGGGTTTGCGTTCTTTTCGAGTTCGCTTTCGTATGTTTTCTCTCTGATGTGCTCGACAAGTTCATGGGATTCCCGCTGACCACTTTCATAGTCTTGCTGCAGATGCACCGAATGGCTGGAAAACGGGATATGTCCTTGCTCTGTTTATTGTGGGCTTTTTCCTCCTCGTGGCGTTCCTCTACTGGCAGTCCATTGCTACGCACCCTCTGATGCCTCTTTGGGTCTGGCGAGACCGTAACTTCTCTCTGGTAAGTGTGCCCACTTCTTCTGGAATCATAGATCGAAATTGACTGTTCAGCTCATTGGAACTTGCTGCATTGGCTTCATGGGGTTCTCTGCTGTCAGCTTCTTCCTCTCTCTCTATCTTCAAAACCTAAAGCATCTGTCTGCCCTAGAGATCACCGTCCAGCTACTCCCTATGGTTGTCAGCGGGGTGCTAGTCAATGTCGTCTGCGGTCTGGTTCTGCATCGCGTAAGCAACAAAATTTTGACCGGCATCGGAGCATTGGCATATACGGCCTCGTTCCTTATCCTGAGCTTCATGACACAAGAAGCGTCCTACTGGACATTTATTTTCCCAGCATTAGTTCTTGTCGTTGTTGGTGCTGACATTCAATTTAACGTCACAAATGTACACTCAGCCCCCAATATCCTTTCTATTCCTCGAGTTTATGCGATATATTTTTGTGGGATTGACTAACCTCGTCTAGATGTATGTGATGTCCACCCTCCCACCTTCCCAACAATCTATCGCTGGTGGTATCTTCAATACTGTCAACAAGCTATGCAGCAACCTGGGTCTTGGTATTGCTACGTCTGTGCAAAGCTCGGTCGCTCTTCGCATGACTGCCTCCTCACCTGCTATTCGACCTTATCTCTCGGTTTATTGGTTTGCCGCTGCGGCTTCGGGAGCGTCTTTGATTTTGGTGCCGTTTTTGAGTATTGGTAAACAAGGAAACTCTGTCCCACAAAACGCCCGGTTGATTCCCGGCGATGAGACTGGCGAGGAGGTTAGCGAGAAGACCGGCATTACTGCCACTACTAATCCTGTGATTTCTTCTGGTGTTGATATCACGGAGCACAAGAAGAGATAGCCTAGTGGACTGCCTTTTTTTTCCCTGAAGCGGGTCGGCATTGCGATTGAGGCGCAAGATGTGTGCGATATTCGAACACACTAGATATACCTGGTCTATAAATATATCACATCCCGGTAGATCCTATTGTTCGTCAACGGAAGTCCCAAACACAGACACATATTATTCAATGTACTTAATAACATACCATTGCCTTCAAGGCAGCTCAAGAAAGACATGCTCTCTATCCAGATACCAGATCCAGAAACACCCTTGGAAAAACCAACTCATCCTCATCTCACACTAATCAAACAAAGGCCCCAAACTCACCAAACTAAACCTCAAATCTGGATTCCCCCTGGGCCTCCATCTTCAGGAACCTCCTTACTCCCAACTCCAACGCAGCCTCACTAAGCGCATCCTCCCCCTCCTTCAACACCCCCCTAGCCAATGGGCCCTTCCTCCTTCCATCTAATTCCCAAAGCGTCCCATCAAGCCCCCGAACAAAAGCAACAAAATGCAAATCAACATTATCCTCCGCCTCCGGCGCCGCCGTATCCCCCAACTTCGCCGCATCAGCATGCGCACTCTCCAGCGCCTTGCTATCATAGAGTAAATCGGCGCGCTTCACCGGCTCCAACCCCTCCGCTTCACGGAGCAACGTATCCAAATCCGAACCGGCAATAACATGTTTCCGAGCCTCGCCATTCGAGACAGCGTGCAGCAGGCCGATCAACCCACATGCATTACGGATGGTTTGCTTGAACCACATTACAGGCTCTGCGGGGCCGGAGCCGGTGTAGTTTGATTTTGAGGCGTCTTCTGTTTCACGGGATGCTTCGTAGGTTTGTGAGACGGGGAAGACGAGCAGGAGGGCTTGGGAGGGGCGTGGGACGAAGGCGAGGAGATCTGGCTCATCGATGGAGAATACATCGGTGAAGCCTAGGGTCGGGGCGAGACCGAGTTGGTGCACTAGGTGTGACATCACTTCGGGGTTGTTTTCTAGAGGGGTTAGCCTTGGGGGTTTGGCACGGAATTGGGAGTCGAACCTAGTGGCACAAAGGCCTTTTGGGTGTGTGGAACATCGACATGTGCCATTGTGGTATGGTGATGGTAGTGATGATAGTGATGGTATTGACGGTAGTGACGGTGGTGATGGTGGTGATGATGGTGCCTGTGTTTAGGATAAAGTCGGGGATTGCGGGGGTCCGGGAGTGTTCCACGTGCTCGTATATTAAATCAAATTAAATCGAATTCCATTTCAATCGAGCTTTAATCGAGAGCTTCAACGGCTGAATTAATTTACTGATTAGGTCTTAGAAAATTCAATTAAGAATAGTAAACACCTAGTTGGACTTACATTTCCAACATGATACACATGGCCAAGCCCGAAGCTGTTTCAGAAATGTGTTTGCACTGTTTGCAGTATTTGACATGATATTAATAGCCCTGGGCAGCAGATCCGAGCCCTAAATATTATTTAGGAATCTTCACGCAGAAGTCGAGCAGCGTCCCAAATCGTCCACAGGGAGATTAAAGTCCGAGGTCTCCCGTAAGGCAATGGCAGCAAAGTCCTTCCAAGACGAGCTAGTACACGCCATTAGCGTCACCTTGATGATCGCCACTCGTACTTGCTCTAAATATCAACCAGTCCCGGCAGTGATTGACACACCGGACCCATGGCCAATTTCGGCCTGCCAGGAAAGTGGACACTCGGCCAAGTCGAATGAAGCTAGACCTAACGGTGTGAACTAGTTTTGGCAAACCCCTGCCCAGAACTGCCAAAAGCCCAATCTTACACGCGGATTTCTTCACAAAAAAAAAAAGTCCGTCTTCTTGGCGATCCACATCCACCACATGCATACTCGGCAGTTTGAATACCTTCCTATTAATTTATATCCCGTCTATATGTTGTGTCGTATAGCACATAGATCGACAGGGAATAGAATCCGCTCTGAGTCAATCCAGCGTCCGCGGACAAATTCATGAGAGCCGTGTCGATCATCTTGTTGGCTTAGCGTGAGTCCAAAGTTTTTTTCCCGGACTAAAAAAAAAAAGCGCCTTGGACAAGGAAAAGGCTAAAAGGTTCTAGTTCTTTACCTTTGCCCCTGTATTTTGTAGCTTTTCTGCGGGTCCTGTCAGGGAGAACGTTTTTATTAAGAATCCTTCTCCCCCACATTTGAATCCTTCCGGCAATGTCAAGCTTTTGCCGATATGACAGACGAAAAGCAAAGAAGCACGGCGGTTCAGATCGTGCCCGCGGTCTTTCTGCCCATCGCCACCATCACGGTGATGCTGCGTATCTATGTGCGCGGCTGGATCGTAAAGGCATTTGGATGGGATGATGGAACTATGGTAATTGCACTGGTACGTTCGATCTTGAATCCTTCAACCTTGGATCCTTCAACCTTGGATCCTTCAACCTTGAATCCTTCGATCCAAGATCCTTCCCGCTATAACAAATATCTAAAACCCCACCACAGTTATTCTATGCCATGTTCTGCGGGACAATGCTTGGAGGCTCGATTTATGGCACAGGCTATATGTTCAAACACCTCGCTGCCGCCAATCGTATAATAGCAATGAGATATTGGTGGCTCTGCGAGATCGCCTACTGCTTCGCCTCGGTGGGATGCAAGATCTCCGTCTGCATTTTCCTTATGCGCATCACCATCAAACCTATTCATACCTTCATCCTCTATACCGTCATGGCCTTGACCGTCATAGCAGGTCTGGTTTTCATGTTCCTCATGCTCCTTCAGTGCAAGCCACTGGAATACTTCTGGACTCGGTATTCCGACGATCCTACTATCAAAGGTAGCTGCATCGATATGGGCATCATCGTCAACATGACCTATGTGTACAGTGCATTTGCCGCACTGTGTGATTTCACCGTCGGCTTGTTGCCCATCTTCCTCGTGCGCAAACTTCACATGAAGCGCCAGACCAAGATCGCCGTCATGGGCATTTTGAGCATGGCTTGCATGTATGTTCTTGTTTCGTATCTCCGTCCTAGTTCCAGATTGCTGACAAGGCGGTTTACAGTGCTTCATCGGCGGTTATCGTCCGGATTCCCTTTGTCGGATCATTCCGGGACCCTGATTTCCTCTGTATGTTCTTACTCCCAAATGATAGACCACGACATGAGCATAAAACTAACCAACCCCCTCCTAGACGCAACATTCCAAATCGCCATCTGGTCCAACGTCGAAGCAGGCCTCGGCATTACAGCTGGTAGTCTCGCAACCCTTCGCCCCCTCCTCCGCATCTGGACGGGGTCTCGCTCAGACCCAGATTACAACTCTGGGTTTCCGGGGGGACGCTCACGGTCTGCCTCGCGCCAGTTGGGCGGCGTTGAAAATCGTCCTTTCCCTTTAGGCTCGTTGGATGAGAGCGCGCAGTCTCACTTAAGACCGGATAAGCTTGCTGTCACTGTTACGACTATCCAGAGCCAAAGGGATCATGATGATATCTTTGGCACGAGCCCGAGTAGCAGCGAGGAGAGGTTGACTATCGATCGACCCTCGCCTCGATTGCCAAATGATATAGGGTTGGGGATTCATCGCACGTTTGAGGTTACGCAGACTTCGACGGATAGGCATGATGCTGAAAGGATTGCGATGGAGCGTGTATAATTGATCAACGTATATATATGACATCAAAAAAATGTATATTAATATCCTACTGTCATAAATCGGTTCATTCTTTTCGGGGCTGTATAATGTAATGTTTGCTACAATATACCAAAGACGAGTCGTGGCTAGATGTAGAGCATTGCAGCCGTGAAGAATGGGTTATGCTTGTACCATTCTAGTCATTAGAACTCTTGACCAACATGTACCTGAGACACCTCTATTGACTAGGCTGCTTTCCCTGTTTTAATGGTTCAAAAATATCCGTCCACAGCTCATTCGCCTCACCCACGAAGTATGTCAAATCAACATCGGCCAGACTAGCATCCCCATCTCCGGACATAGTCTCAAGCTGCGAGATCAAGTTCTCCAGCCCAAAAGCCTTACCCGTTGCCTGCGTTGCACCAGCTTCGAGCATAACATTGACAACATGGATATGGAAGTGGTAGTAGGTCGGTTGATCTGCCGGATTCAAAAGTCAGCCAAAAGAAAAACCCTTAATGCAATGTAGTGCAAGTCCAAACACCAACTCACAATGAACGTAAAGCTTGATCTGATCCTCCTCCAAACCAGGATACATAGAAACCGTAGCCTCAAGCACCCTATCCCTCAAATACTTCAGCCAAGGCACGAAACTCTTCTTAAGATCCCTCAAACTCCAGATATCTCTCCTCTGCACCAAAGCCAACAAATGCAACGACCCCATACTCTTTCGATCCCAATTCAAGTCAGGCAGCATCAAAAACCCATCTTCAGGCCCATGCCCCTCATCCCGCATAATCACATCTTCTTGCTCAGTCCTGCCCTCCAGAATATTAAACACCCAGTTCAGCCGCTCTTCCTCGCGCTTCGCTTGCATGTATGGTCGCACGTGTGTGCGGTATATCTCCGCCGTCTCGGTTACCATTCGCAGCTGCTGGTCCGAGTACTTCTTGATGTGTTGTGCTGTACATGGCCAGATGAGGTTGAGTTTGAGATCCTGCTGCGGGTGGATAGCAGCTTCGGCAGGGGTTGGGTCCGTGGTATTGCCGCTTGATGAGGCTAGGTACCAGCGGTAGATGTCGTTGTCGCCTAGGTTGTTGATTCGGGAGATTGCGGCGTGGAAGGCTTGGAGTACGGCGAGGGATTCGGTTGCGAATGCCGCTCTCTCCGCAATTAGGATGCCTTGCGTGTTATCAATTGTGCCGAGCAGGGCGATTCGTCGGCCATTTTGGTCTGGAGGGGTTTCTTTAGTTTCTTGATTGCTACGGGGAGTGGGGTGGATGAGTCGTACCTTGTTTGAGGAGCTTGCTCACTTGAAATTTGGTGATTAGTGCCTCTGGGGCAATCTTGTCGGTGTCTGGGGAGTCGGCCATGTTTGGAAGCTTTCAATGTTGGAATGTAGGGAATTCAAGATGTTTTGTCTGATTTATCCAGCTTTATCGGGTGGGGCGGTCAGGTTTATCGTTCTGGTGTAGATCTATGGGATTTTGTTGCATTGCCAGAATTCATTTTGTTGCTAGATATCTACATATTACCGTAGAACTACTATGATATTCTGATACATTGAGCCTCAAGTGCATCTATTGATGACATAAACCATAAATAATTGCTCTCAAGCCTTCTTCAACACGTAGTTCCCGTCCGATAAAGGTTTAAGGAGATCTTGATACTCAGTAGTCAAGCAAAAGTAGGTGTATATCACGAAATTAGACTATCGAATGCATTGATATACAGTCTAGAGTCCACAGAAACGTCTCTCAACTCCATCGTAACCGACATAACAAGCCTTCCTCAAGCAGCAGCAGACTCCTTGTTTCCATTCGTCGCTGAAGTTGGGGTTGTATGCATCTGATAGACAATCAGAGAAGACCCAAGGGAGGAAAGGAACATGGATAAACCATCATCGAAGGGGAAATAGAACATACCGCGTCCGCAAACTGCAGCCACTCTTCCACTCCCTTGACAAAAGTGTCATCTGCTGCAGGAAGCACCTCATGTCCCCATACTACAAACTCATCAAAAGTTCCCTGCATCTCCATAACCTTCACTGGTTCCTCGGGCTCAGTCTCCGCATCCTCAGCGTCATCACTGTCTGCCCGTTGAGTCGCAGGTAGCACACGGTCTGTGGGTGTTGCGACTACACCTTTATGTTTCCAATATAGACTCAGCCAAACGTGATTCAATCGCAGATTTTTTTATTCTTGGGAGGTTCATTTGGACGTTTTCTCGTACCTTGATAGCCTTCAGGAAGGGCAACGCGGCGGCCCCGAAGTTTACGTCCTCGGAAATGCGTCGTTTGTGTACTATCTGTGTATAAAGAGAAGAAGTCAGTTTTTGTTTGTGCAGTAGATTAGTCCAACAAGATTTTGTCCAGCCACAGCTGTCTGTCTTGCGTACCTTTTTCATCTTTCACTGTCCAATGCCGATCCAAGGAATCAATTGGCCCATCGTGGTGTATTCTGCATGGGATAATATTTGGTATGCATTTTAGAGTCGAGTCATCTTTCGCAGATTGTGAGTTCGCTTTTGAGCGAGGCTGGATGGTGTAGATGTCGGGCATTGTGTCGGTTGCTCTTCGCAGATGGTTCTGTGTTGAGGATTAGTGGCGCAGTGATGGTCTTTTCCAGGATATTGAATGGGATCAATTGATTGTCGATTTGTTCTTATGCCGTCTAAAGTCTGGAATTGGAGAGGTATTGCGTGGGTTCTGCTGTTTGGATGGTTGCGTTGATTTTCGTAAAAGATCGGAGGTGAGGCGCGACGCGTTCTCCCGTTCTCCGCGTTAAGTGGAAATCCGAGGAATCGAGACAGAAAACATCTATTTAGCTATCTAAAACTATATTGTAGACGTTTTAAGACGTTTGAAGTCCTAAAGCAAGGGAGAGAAAGACAGACTTCTAGATTCTTGTGGAAATGCAAATTCAATTGGCAATGATCGGGGTATACATGTACAGAGTATCTAAGCATGTCTCTTCGAAAGCTACATCGAATATTCAACATCAGCGCTTGCGTGTGGTCTTCTTCTTCTTCTTCTTTTTCTGGCCCTCGCCCTTCTCCCTGTTATCGGCAATCATCCGAGCGGGCCATTTCTTCAAATGCTCCCGCTCAAACGCATCCTTCTCCCGACGGTACAAAGCCATCGTAGCCCGAGCATCTTCCACACTAGAATGCGCTCCGTCCTGAATCTTGATTCCCAAGAACTCCTCGGCCAACATCTTCAAGCGTGGTGATCCACCGCCTGCGATCCTCCGATATGGCGCGTGCTTGCTCGTGTCTCGGATGTCGCGCTTGGGGTGACAGAGGAGGAGAGCGTCCAAATCGTTGCTGACGGCATGACCGACGAGAATGCGGTCCTTCATGATATCTGCAATTTCTTTTTGGACGTGCTCAAGGGTTCGTGCCTCCACCATGTGCTTCGGAGCAATCCCGCTCACATGCGTGCGCCAGTCTGTGACCATTTCCTTCGGACGTACGTAGGAATCGTATATTTGGTCGCCGTTGAAGTTCACGACACTGACACGGGCAAGTGCAGAATCGCTGTCGGGGTTTGGTCCGACGCCCACCATTTCACAATCCATTGCGATATATTTTCCTAGCTCGGCGCTGGGGCGGATAGTTAGTCGCTGATATAGCGATAGGACAGTTTAAATAGTGCGGCGGGGCAATCTGCTAGCACTTACGTTGATGAACGGCCTTCATTTTCCTTGTGACGCGAACTCGTCTCAATCGTTGAAGTTGAGGTATCCGCGGAATCGCCAGCCTCTGACTTGACAGACATTCTCTTGCGCTTGATTGGTTTGGCGGCTTGGTTATATGGTTTTTGCTTCTCGGTCAATTTTCGTTTCTTCACGATGCCATCTCCGGATTCGAGCTCGGAGGGCTTGCGCTTGACAGGATCTTTCTTGAGTGTTGCCTGCAGCTTCTTCCAGTTACTGGAAAGCGCTGTCTTGTCCATTCTGTGTCTTGTTGGTGAGAGAGAAGATGGGAAAGATAAAAAAAGGCGATAAGCAAGTAAATTTTCGGGACCCACTTTTTATTTGGGGGTTGATAGTTGACCAGGTAGCGACTTTGATACAGCCCTCCCTATATTGTCCTTGGAGGTACAACTTACTGTATAATCGAGTGTCAAGTATTTTGATTTACTTTGTGCTTAAGAATATTGAGATGAAACCTGATCCTAACTTATCGAAGGACCACATTATATGTCCAGATAACAAAATGCACGCGCTTTTAGAGGGAATATGCAGAATTACTCGTATCCAGTCTTGAAATCCTTCGCCGACCACTTCTCTGTAATCTGTCTTCTGGCCTTGCGTGCCTGGGTAATTGGTGTGCGGGACTCGAGCTTACCCTGAACGATCAATGTTCGGAATCGATCATCCAAGAGATTACCTTCCGGCTTCAGGAGTCGTAAAGAATCCTGCAGCTCGTCAGGAAGAACCAGCTCCAACGGCTGCGCAGGTACACTAAGATAATTTGTTAGTCGCAGCATAGGTATAGGAAATTGATCAAAAACGTACGGTCTCTTGCCACCGAAAGTCTTCTTGCGGAGAGCAATCTCAACATCATCATCATCAGACTCATCCGCATCTGACTGGTTCTCACGCTCAAGCTCCCGTTGTTTGATTTGCTCGGCGATTTTGAGAATATGCTCAGCCTGTGCATCTCTCTTTACCCTCTGAGCCTCCCACTTCGCTTTCCCTTCTGCTGCCTTGCGTCGGATGACCTTGTTACGCTGCGTCTTGGATTTACGCTCAGGGCGCTTCTTGTTCAGCCACTCAGGCTTCTCGTACTCGCTTTCAAAGCCCTCCCAGGCACTCTCGTCATCCGACTTCACCTCGCCGTTGTCGTTCTTGGCTTCCTCGATCAAACGCTGCTTCTCGGCTTCCTTGGCCTCTTCCTCCAATCGCAGCTTCTCGGCCTCAACCGCCTTGGCACCGTGGGTCTCCAATAATTTGTCCCACTCTTCGAACACAGGATTGTAACTGGTTCCGGCGTGAGGCATCCTAACAGAGGGAACGGGCTTTCCATTGGCAGCAAGCGAAATCGGGGCGTGTTTTAATGTGGTCGGCTCAACTTTGGGCTTGGGCTTCTGCAGGAAATCAAAGCGGGGATCGTCGTACGTGAGCGTGGGTTCGGTATCTTCTGCCCACGGATCATAGAACTCATTGTCGGTCTTCTTGCCCATAGGGTTTCCCTCCTTCGCTACTTGCTTCAGGCGGAGATATTCCTTTTTGCTAACCCAGTCACTCTTGGGCTTCTTCGTCTTCGGCTCAATGACTCCGTCGGTGACGTTCGGGTTGACACGCTTCCGGCCATCTAGGGCGGGGATCATTGACCGCTGGGCAAGGATCTCGTCTGACTTGAGGGGCTTCTTCTGCTTTTTGGCGATAGACTTGCGTACTTCTTCATTGCCGACAGCATCGAGAACGAAAAGTTGATCGGAAGGCTTTTCAGAGATAAGACCACTGCCGGAGAGAGGTCAAGTTAGAATCTCAATTCACAAGTAGAGAGCAAAAAGAGAAGTAGAGCAAGGATGTGCCTACCCTGTGATCTCGGCGTCCTTCAGATCTCGCAAACCCTCCTGCACCGCGGTAATGTCGACATTCTTGCGCCACGCCTTCTTACCCTTACGGGAAGGTTGCTTAAATTGCTTTGGGGCTTCCACGGAGGTCGACATTGTGGAAAACAACAGAGACGAATAGTCAGAGTTGATAGTATGAAAATATTGGCTTATCTTTTTTCTGAGCCAAAAAAATTCTGGATCTGCTTATCTCAGCACGCGCGGGGGCGGTGATCTCGGCTATCACGTTTACCGCGTTTGGGTTGTGAACTCGCTTTTCTTCCGCTTCAAGCTGTCATCACTTACAGCGCGTGAACTCCCCATATGCCTGGGGGTTGATATTCTCCATCTTTCTGGTGGCACATTTGTTATTTTACTATCGATTTTCGAAGGGTCGACACTGCGCTTAGCGCCATCACACGCCATGCCTGTCGTCAAAGGAGGTGTCTGGTAAGTGGCATTGAAACCCGCCCACGAGCTTTCGTCGCTAATGACTCTTAGGACCAACATTGAGGATGAAGTTCTTCGGGCAGCTGTGAGTTATTTTGAACTCTCTAGGAACTTCGCTAGTTAATGTCAGATGGAGCGAAAACTGACCGATCGCAGGTATCCAAATATGGCCTCAACCAATGGGCCCGAGTCTCCTCCCTACTCGCGCGGAAAACACCAAAGCAATGCAAGGCGCGCTGGGTCGAGTGGCTGGACCCGGGCATTCGCAAAACCGAGTGGTCGCGGGAAGAGGACGAGAAACTGCTCCATCTCGCGAAGTTGATGCCCACTCAATGGCGCACCATTGCCCCCATCGTCGGACGCACTGCCACACAATGTCTTGAACGCTACCAGAAGCTCTTGGATGAAGCTGAAGCTCGCGAAAACGACGAGCTCGGCCTGGGAGGACCCGGCGAGGAGAGCGCCGCTCCTAGTGCGGACGATGTCCGCCGTCTACGGTTTGTGTATCTTACTGAACGTGATGATGTTCGTGTGGCTGATATATTGTAGACCCGGTGAACTCGATCCCGATCCAGAGTCCAAGCCTGCCCGTCCCGATACTATCGACCTGGATGAAGACGAGAAAGAAATGCTGAGCGAAGCGCGTGCTCGTCTCGCGAACACACAGGGTAAAAAGGCCAAGCGAAAGGCCCGAGAGCGTCAATTAGAAGAGTCACGTCGACTTGCTGTTCTCCAGAAGCGCCGCGAACTTAAGAACGCTGGTATCAATGTTAAGGTTGTCACGCGGAAGCCCGGCCAGATGGATTATAATGCAGATATTCCATTCGAAAAGCCAGCTGCCCCTGGTTTCTATGATACAATTGAAGAGGAAGATATGAATGAACGCCAACGCGAAGCATTCGATCCTCGGAAACAGCAACTCGCGAATAAGAGAAAGGGCGACCAAGACGATGATGCAGAGCGCAAGAAGCGCAAGAACGATAAAGGGAGCGCTTCGGCCGCTTCTGCTGCAGCTGCACGAGCAGGTCAAATGCAGAAGATTCGCGAAGCTGAACAGAGCAACAAGCGACGGGCCTTGAACTTGCCAACACCGCAAATCAGCGAAAGCGAAATGGAAGAACTCATCAAGATGGGAATGGCCGGCGATAAAGCCAGTCGAATGAGCGCCGATGAAGAAGGTACTCGGGAACTCCTTGGAGATTACTCGGCTATTGTTGGAGGGACTCCTATCAGAACCCCGCGAGCTGCCCCGGAGGACGATCATATTGCCAATGAAATCAGGAACATTCGAGCTTTGACCGAAACGCAGTCTTCCCTTCTAGGAGGGGATAACACACCTCTTCACGAGGGGGGATCATCAACTGGATTTGATGGAATTGCTCCTCGGAGGCAGGCAATTGTTACTCCAAACCCCATGGCCACGCCATTCCGCCAGGCGAATGGTATGGGTGCAACACCTATGCCTGGTGGCTCTGGGCCCGGTGCTACGCCATTGCGCACCCCGCGAGACCATTTGTCTCTAAACCGGGAGGGAGAGGGGAGCCAGCTCATTGGCAGCACACCCCGGGACATCAAAATGCACGAGAACTTCATTCGCCAACAGATGCGCAGCAAGCTAGCCTCGCTTCCCAAGCCCAAAGAAACCGAGTGGGACTTGGAAGATATTCCATCTGAGTCCGCTGAGCCCACCGCAGCTGCTGAGATTAGCGAAGAGGATGCGGCCGAGCGTGATCGCCGTAACAATGAGGCACGGGAGAAGGCTGCTAAAGCTGAATTTAAACGTCAATCACAAGTTTACCAGCGAGGCCTACCTCGTCCCGCCGTTCTGGACATAAACGTTATGTTGCAACGTGCTTCCCAGGCCACCGACACGATTGAAGCCTTGATTGCCAACGAAGCCGCCATCCTTATTGCACACGACTCTCGCAAATTCCCTGTCCCTGGCGCACAAGTCGAGGGCCAAGCACCAAAGTTGAGTCAATTGGACGACCGGTTCTTGGACGCAGCGCGGGCTTCTATTGCCGCTGAGATTGCTTCCGCCGAAGCACAAAAGTCGGAGTGGCAAGATAAATTTGACGACAGTTGGTCGTCAGTTCGCGCCAAGTCTCTTCCCGGTCTTGAGAATTACGAGGATGACGAGCACGATCCTTTCCAGGAAGAACAGCGCATGATTGCGGCTTTCGACACAGTTCAGACATCTCTCTTTGCTACTGCTGAGCGCGGAAACAAGCTCGAGAAGAAACTGTCTTTGCACTACGGTGGATACCAGAATCGTGCCAAGACGCTGCGGTCTAAGATCGTGGAGGCTAGCACTGCTCTGTCCGCTGCTACAAATGAACTAGACGCTTTCCGTACACTCCAGATCTCCGAAGAGTCAGCTGTACCCCGGCGACTTGAGAGACTCCGCGATGCAGTGGCATTGGTTCTGCGGCGTGAGCGAGAGGCTCAGGATTTGTACAAAAAGAGAAAAGATGAGCTTGATGAACTTCTTGCTGGGACAGGTACGGTCAATGGATGGCACTAGGTAGTTTGTTTTTTTTTTTTTTTGTTCTGCGTCATGACCACATTCACAATATCTTACTCTTTTGTACAATTACTACCTCAGTCTAATTTGACGAACCGTACGCGGTTACTTGATGGAAAATATTTGATATCCTCGATAAATCCAAGTTATAGTGTGCCATGAACAATTTAATAACGATCATTGATTTAGCTGCTTGCTTAATTCGCATGATAGTGTCCGACTTGTAAACGGCCCAGAGCCTTCTGGATCAATGTTATCCTTCCCACATAAATGCTTCTGGAGATATCAAACTCTACAAGAGATAGAAAGTTAAGATCTATTGGTAAAAATGTAACTTCACTATGACTTTCGGACTTACCGATACCATATCAAACGCCAGGCTTTGGGGCCTCGGGCTCCGCATCTTCAACCTTTGGAATCTCTGATTCGTCCAACTCGTAAATCCCAGCAAACCGCTTATCGTATTTGGCAAGAGCATCTTTTTCCTGCTGCGAAATAGCAGGGTGATACCTGGCATTGTGCAAAGCAGGCAGAGCCTCCAGTATGCGAATGTAAAGCGCCGTCGCACGATCACCAACAATAGATGGATCCTCCGCACTAACAAGGTTTCGGAGGTACGCATTGACCTTGTGAGCGTTGACCTCGAAGAACTCGCAAGGCGTGCCTCGGTTCGCATAAACGTGGAGAGTCAAAGGGACGTCACGAAATTGGTCGCAGAGCTCGACAATGGTCATCTTGTCGGTTGTCCAGCCATCCCAGCCGTTTAGGACGAAGATGCACTCAGACTTGGATGCGCGAGCCTCCTCCATTGCCAAAGCCAAGAACTTACCGATTCGGCTGACAGATGAGATTCGGGTGTGGGCGGGTTGGATGATTGTCTGCATCTTAGGAGGACGGAGCCCCAGGATACCAAATCGCTTGCGGTGCTCGGCGATGGCGATTACAAGAAGTCCACGTAGGTATGCGTGCATTTCGTCGTTGTTCCAAGTCGAACGGTTGTAATTGTGGTCATCCTTGTTCGTTGCGCGAGCGATGTATACCACTGCTGGGCCGAGGGGGTTTCGTGGAGGAGACAGGTTTAGTTTGGATGGGGATTCATGAGTGTTGTCCTCAACAGGGGGTGGACGAGATTTGTCCGGCGACTGCTTGATTTGAAGCATGGCGATGAGTTGCTGAGTTGCCTGGGAGGGATGGAGAAATGTAGAACGAAGAAAATACCTTGATACGCGTTTGTTTACAATTGTCTGATGGTGTATACCCCAAGGAAGGTACGTCCAGAGGAAAGAGCGACTTAAACTTGAAGATTCCATGGAGCGTCCATGTTGGAATGAAGTTGGGAAGATGCGAAGCTGGGAAAACATTGTAAACATACAAGTCGATTGGTGAAATCCCTTGGAAACGACTATAGAAAAGTAACAAAATGATATTGACATGGAACCCGTTTCATGCAGTTCACCGCTTCTTAATGCTGATATCAATCTTTCCAATGCCCCAGGCAGCGACAAAGACTGTAAGCATACCCGCAAAGATAGTTAAAGGCTTGCGCAGGGCATCGAACATGGAGTAATCATATGTAACCTACTGGAGTGTTAGCATAACTGCGAAATGACCAAGTGACAATACAGATCATTACATACCACGAACTTCGAGTCACGCGCTTCGTCGGTCAGACTGTCAACCTCCAGGGTCAAGGTGGTCCGGCCCAGAGTATCCATGTAAGTCTTGAGAGAGCTCAAGTGAGCGTGAATGTGGTTCACGCCGGGAAGACCATTGCTGTTGGTTCCCTCGAGGATCTCGAAGCGAACATTGTGAGCACCTTCGGGGAGAACAACGCGCACAACCACACGCTCATACTGAATTCCCTCGGCCATCTTAGGTCCCTCGATGAGCGGGGCCTTGAGGACATAGGTATCGGAGTTGACACCCGCGGCACGGCGTAGGAAAGAAGCAAGATCATTGTTCCATCCAATACGGAAGCTGTAGTTCCAGCCTCCGAAGATTGGGTAGCGGGGCTTCAGCTCCAAGCTACCTGCACTCTTGCCAATGCTGGGACGGTAGCGGCTGGTGGAGACATTGCCGATATCATCAATGAAGTAAGGGTCGACAGAGCCGGGAAGAAGTGGGTATGTCAGTTCACGAACTGCTGAAGTAGGTGCTTGCTGGTAGTTGGCGAAAGTCCACTCGACACGTGAGAATTGCTTGGTCAGCTTTGAGCCGTTGTTGCGCAGCCAATACCTTTCCTCGGTTGCAAGGTTACCGCCCCAGTGTGAGACTTCCAAGTCGCGCTCCAAAAGGCTTATAGAAATGACAGGTTTAGTGAACTCATAGCGGACGGTGATCGGGTGTTGGGTGCCTGGTGCCACCTTGGCCGTGTCATACGGGCCATAAGTGTATGTGGCACCCTTGCGCTCGGGGTCCGATCCGGACTTGAGACCATCAGTGGTTGTGTAATCCGGCACATTTGTGCTGGGGAACTTCAATTTGGTCTTTTGGGTATTAGTCGTGTAGGCGGATGGCATATAAGCGGAGAAGGAGTAGGTAAGGTATTGCTTGTCCGCCTGGCCAATGGTCGCAGGAAGTGGGCTGAGAGAGGAAAGCACCGAATACGAGATCCCAAGAGTAATCTGCGACTTTGGGGCCAAAGGCTCGGGAAGGTGAATGACGAAGTACTGGTTGCCGCTATTTCAATTGATGTTAGAATCTCGATGTCACGGTGTTTGTACCTCGCCCATTACATGGCTGGACGTCTAGCATGTCCATTGGCCTCCCAATTGGTACTCACTCAGATGATACAGCTTCAGTATAGTCCACATCAAAGCGTCCCTTCTCCAGGGCCTTTTTATCCCTCACTTCGAAGCCTGCAACGCGGTCAAACACCTCGGCAGGGAAGGGGATGTAGTAATCGTTATGGGGCTGCTTGTCGATGTTCTCCACAACAACATTGATAGTTTCCCGCACATAGCTCTTTTCTAAATTGGTATTCCGAACCAAATTTGTGTTCTTGAAAACCTGCGGAGGTTTGAAGCCGGACGGAAGATCCAATCGACTAGGCGTAGTAAGGTTGGTTGCAGCGCACAGGCTGGGCGCGAGCAGCCCGAGCACCGTGGCGGTGAAAAACCTCATTCTGAGTACCTGGAGGACACAATTTCTCCAAGGTTGAAAAGGTTCAAGAATCCCAGATGTGATTGTGTCAGGTCGATGAACCTTGGGAAGCTTGCGAAGCTGATGATACGTGGTCCCCATTGTATACTAGGGTCGCCGAAGCGGCCACATCGCGCACTCCGGCTTATCGCTGATAACAGTGGTGATCCCCGGAGCTTCTCCTCATCTCGCATCTTTACTTCTTGCATATTTGTTTTGCATGATCAATTGGCAGGAGATAGCTGGATCTCCTCCTCAAATATAACCATGCTGTCACACACAATGCTCACCTCTCGAGCTGCTCTGAGGTCTGGCTGTTTGAGGGGAGCTTCGCTCTCATCTGCTCGTCGTTACCATGGCCTTGCCCAGAGCAAGTTGTTTAAGGTGTCGGAAGAGGTGCGTGATGCAGTTGCTACAGGGAAGCCAGTCGTCTCACTCGAAACCACAATCTATACACATGGTGAGTCTGCTATGTGAATTCTTGGGATTGAAGAGCTTCTCTCAAAAGCGGGGAAGCCAAGACTGAACGGCTGTAGGTTTCCCTTACCCCGATAATATTGCTCTCGCCGCATTGTTAGAGTCTGTTGTGAGAGCCAACGGCGGAGTTCCTGCAACTATAGGACTACTTAATGGTGTGGCCAAAGTTGGACTGAGTACGGAAGAGCTTATCGAGCTGGCCTCAACAGCTCAAGACAAGAGCGCTCTGAAAGTGTCTCGTAGGGATCTCGGATATATCTGCGGCATGGTGAGACAGCTGCTCCAGTAGCTCAGATGACCGAAACTGATCTATATTAGGGTATGGTCGGTAAGCCGATGCATGGCGGTACCACAATCTCCGGCACTATAATCCTGTCAGAATTGGCTGGTATCAAGATTTTTGGTACCGGTGGACTAGGTAAACATGATGACCACACTTCACTGGGAAATGAAACCTATCTAACTTGCTCTAGGTGGTGTGCATCGTGGGGGAGAAAACTCAATGGATATCTCTGGTAGGGCAAACTGTGGAAACAAAACCAGCATCCCCAATTGTTGACAAACCTGTATAGCCGACCTTACTGAGCTTGGACGTACCCCGGTAACGGTAATTAGCTCTGGATGCAAGAGCTTCTTGGACATTCCTCGAACGCTCGAATACCTCGAGACCGAAGGTGTCTGTGTGGGTACATTCGCTGATGGTCGGGATGGCCCCGTGGATTTCCCTGCTTTCTTCACACGAGAGAGTGGCATCCGCAGCCCCCGAGTTATTCGAAATGAAGCTGAGGCTGCTGCAATAGTCTGTAAGTTTGCCCCCCTGCGTCGAAACCTACAGTATCGTTGACAGAGTCCACAGATGCGCAATCCAAACTTCCAGTATCCTCCGGCATCCACTTTGCCAACCCCGTCCCCCTGGAGTACTCAGTCCCCAAAGCCGAGATGGATCTTGTGATTGAAGAAGCTGTCCGCCTTTCCCATGTAGAGGGCTACCACGGCAGTGACAACACGCCATTTGTGCTTGCTAAGATCAAGGAACTCAGCGGTGGAAAGTCCGTAGTTGCTAACCGGGCCTTGATTGAGTCCAATGTCAAGCGTGCAACCCTTGTAGCTGTGGAACTTGCCAAGCTTGAACAAGCTGACTTAGGAACAGGGTCTCGGTAAGTTTTGTTTCTAGATACCAGATACGAGATGCAATCAATGCTAAGTTCCGAGATCTCCTTCCCTATAGACACATGCCATCAATCCCAGGTGTAGCTTTACCAAGTCAAGTTGCCTCGCGAGTTGAAGATGCCTCCGAGCCAGCCAATACCGAGCCACCTATTACACCGACACTAAAGGCAGATGTCGTTGTTGCCGGCTCCCTAGCCATCGATCTCTCCTGCGACTATACCCCATTCGGAGACGAACTCACTCAAGTTGCACCGGTACCGCATACATCTAACCCAGCAATTATCGGACAAAGCTTAGGCGGCGTTGGCCACAACGTTGCCGTTGCCGCCAGCTATATCGGCAGCGATGTCCTCTTCTGCAGCGTCGTTGCAGACGACCTTAGCGGCGGCGCCGCACTATCAACCCTTGAAAAAGAAGGCCTCAGCATCGCAGGCATCCAAGTCCTCCCAGCGACGCCAGGCATCCGCACAGCGCAATATATCGCAATCAACGACATCAAAAAAGACCTCGTAGTAGCCATGGCTGACATGGGAATCGTCGAACTACCCGAATCCCAGCTCGACTTCGACGGCTTCTGGGAGCCTCTTCTCGAACGCACCAAACCCAACTGGGTCGTCGTCGACGCTAACTGGCGGCCCGACGTGATAGCCAAGTGGAGCGCTGTAGCACACAAACACGGCGCACGCGTAGCCTTTGAGCCTGTTTCAACTGCCAAATCTCGACGTCTGTTCGGTAGCGGTGCAAACAGCACTGGCGCCACTATCGGTCCTGATCAGATTGTGCCAAATAATGCTATCAGTCTTGCATGCCCAAACCGCCTTGAGCTGACGGCTATGTACACCGCTGCGCGGGAATCGCTTCTTTTCGAGTCTGCGGGGTGGTGGCATATCATAAACTCTATGAATATGTCTCCAACGGGTTCGCGTGAGCGCCTCATTGCAATCACTTCGCAGTCTCTCGTTGACGAGGGCCTCCCGCAGCAAACTATTCAACTTCTTCCTTTCATTCCTTGTATTGTTACCAAGCTGGGTGGTGCAGGTGCTCTTCTTACTCAGCTTCTGCCACCCGGTGATCCCCGTCTCACGGATCCGGAGTCTGCGCCATACATTCTTGCTCGCGCACCGATTGACTCGGATGTGCCTTTTGGTGGTGTTTACATGCGTCTGTTCTCACCTGCTACTATTCTAGGTGCAAATGACATTGTCAGTGTCAATGCGGCGGGTGATACGCTGCTAGGTGTTGTGGTGGCTGGCTTGGCCGGAAGCCCTTCCGTTCGCGTTGAGGATGTCATTCCTATTGCTCAGAAGGCGAGCCGGAAAACATTGGCTAGCGCCGGAGGCGTGAGCAAGGATTTGGGTGAGCTACGTGGCCTTTTGGGGCTGTAATAGTGTAGCTGTGACATCCTAGTACTCATGACGTTGATCCCCGAAGTATGAAGCTCTCGATATGAATCGGGTGTCTTGAGGTGCGTTAGGCTCCTTGGATTGATTTTGGGATATAGAAAGCTCCGGAGAAAAGCACTTCGTACTTACTAGGGCGATCAATAAATCCACGAGTAAACTCGAAGCATTGGCCTGATCAGCATAGCTTGGCTTTGAGTGCTGAATCTATGAACTGACTTGATTTATATCTTAAGGCTGTTCTTCTTGGGATTAAGCACTTTCAGGAGGCATAATAAGTAGGCCATGCTGCTAAATATATGCTACTTCTTGGGATTAAAAGTACAGATTGAGATGGAGGGTGAAACGAGAAGAATGGCTTCAAATACGCCATCAGCTATGAGGATACTTATAAAATTCTTACCTTGTAGCTTAGTTCTGGCGCGCGGAATGCTTTGTGTAATGACTGCACTCACCTCCGCGCTCTAAAGTATACTGTTGAAGGCATTCGTCTAGGAATGTTCTTTTACATCTTGCATTCGAGTGGACAATTTGGAAGCAGTTATCTCAGACAAGCAGATCTGTTGGATACCATAAGCATCCATGCCTGACATAGATAAACCATAGCAAACAGTAAGACATGGGACCATACTTTGGCAGTACAAATAGGCTGTCAGAGCCCTATTCCTTCTTGCTTTCTCCTTCTCCCCAGTCTAGCTTTTAGCTAGAGAATATCATCAATATTTTTATCGTCAAAACCATACATCCTTGGGACCTTCAGCTCCTTGGAAAGCCCAAGCATGGTGCTGTTTAAAGTCTGTGTATACGAATACCAAGAAAAATATCAGAGTCATGATGGTGCTTGGTTATGAATAGACTGGCTTCGTAGACCCTATCAATGTATGTGGGTAATGAAGACAGAGAAATACAAGACGAAGACCCCCAACAATCAATGACTTTCAATGGCTTTTGCCGACGGCACAAGTCCCGGATCTAATAATCCAGCCTGTACAAGCACACCGGCCTGGTCCCAATAAAGACTCTGACGTGTAATCTGACCAGCACTGAAGCTTGCCACTACAACGACGATGACTCTGATTTCTCGATTCGTCGGCAAGACACCGGGTAGTAGCCATGGAACCTCAGCAGTATGCCGACAGGAAAACAACATCTCATCCGCGATCCGATCCGCACCCACAGTGCGCGATAAGAGGCGGACGTGCTGATCAACTGGTCCAGCAGGGATATACGCATGAGCGAAAAAGTCTCTCAGGCTTGAGATATCCGAGCCTGTAGTAGGTGTATCAGTAAATTCCCTAATCAGACTGTATCAAGTAGGAGAAGAAAAAACTCACCTCCAGTCTGGGTAGGAATACACTTCACATGCACCTCCCCAGCAGGACATCCCACCTCGCCATAATGGCTATTATCAGTCAACATCCCAACTGTACATTCAGAACCACATTTGTGATTCTGTTTGCGTGTCTCCAGCTCTCCAACCACACTATCCCAGTACTCTTCCCAAACAGTCTCGATATCAATAACAGGCCAGTGACTCCCGACATTAAACGAGCGCCGCAGACACGCCAGCGCCCGACTCCACGCCAGTTGCGAGCCGATCTCATCCTCCGCATTCAAGTCCACATCCACCTCTCCTTCTTTTTCCTCTGCAACTTCCCGCTCCGCGAACCCAGATCTGGACCCCGGGTACGAGTACACGTAGCACCGGTGTTTTTTCTTGTAGGTGACGTCGCCTTCTGAAGCACTGAGACTTATCCATGGCCACAGTGCACAGGGCTGAACTCGTGGGCCTGGGACGTGGACTTGAATCGGGAGATATGTGGATTTGGAGACTGGGCCGAAGATTGAACTTGTGTCTGAGCAGCTTGGGGGCGAGCAGTCTTCTCTTTGTCTGTAGGTAAATTCGTCTGTTGATGAAATGGGGTAGTATGCTATCAAGGCACATAGGTGTGGGAATGGGTTTGTGTTTGTGTGTACTGTGTGGTGTGAGGCTAGGAGGAGATAGGCGGGTCGGTGGTATGCTGGAATGTATGGTTAGCCGGGCTTTTGTTAGGCTTTCTAAGGCCAAGACGTCTGCCATGAATACAAAGGCAAAGAAAGTCGAATAGAAGACGTACCAACTATCGCATATCGCTCTCCATTCTCGAGTTCGTCTTCTTGTGCGTGTATCGCATTCTCCAGCGCTTTTCGGTCCTTATCTTCGTCTCCGGTGCCGGGGAAGGGGATATAGATCACATCAAATCCTTCTGATTGAAAGCGGTGGACTACATGGGTATCAAATTCAACGGTGTCAGAGACCATAATGAGATGTCGAGGAGCTGGCTCTTCATATCGCCAGCTGCGTTTGCCGGAGCTCGTGCTCACTGCCCGGTGTAAACCATGTGGATGGGATGCTGCGGAATTGGGGCCCGTGGTATCTCCACCTTGATCTGGTGTTTGACTGCTAGAGCTTTGTGCTCGGCGTCGAGTGAAGCGCTGCAATACGTTGACCATGATCTGAATGTAATCTGGTTGATTAGAGAAACTGTATGTTGGAACTTTGGATGAACATGTGGTCTTTTATGAAGTATCTGCTCCAGATTCGGAACCCTCGGGTTGCTCTTCTTGGTATTACATATGTCAAGACGTGAAAATGGCCGCCGAGAAAATGCCAATGCTTAGGGTTTCTTGGTCGGAACGGATGACCAGTTCTGTGACGTCGTTGATGTTTCCGCGATAAGATAGGGCTGTGCATAGGGCTGTACATATCCATGCAATGCATCTATAGAATATGACATGAGTCAACAAAGCTATACCTCTTCTATGTCTAGGAATGATCTGCGCTGTATAATATAACATAGTTACAATGCGGGATAATCATCTCACCAATCCTGAAGGCCGTTTCTAGCCCCACTTATTCAAAGCTCACCAACCACCCACGATCCTCGTTGACTTTTTCAGGTGCTTTAACGCTGTCAACGAGATAGCACTTGTACGCCTCGCGCAGCAGACTCGCCCGCGCAACCTCACAATCAACCCGAATATCCTCCACCAAGGCTTCTAACGAGACATAATCAAACTCAGGCCGGATATAACCCAGAATGAGCAGGTTGAGTCGCGTTTTGTAGAAATCCGGCAAGCGATTGAATTTAGTTTGACCCTCCTGCCCCGCAGCAGTGGGCGATGGTTCCGTAAGAGGTGGCATGATATGGATTTCCTGTAGTGATCAACCACGTCAGATATATGCCCTACCAAATCAGGCTTCAACATTTGACGGCATTTTGCCCAGTGGTATGTGTCACATACCACAGATCTCACAGTATTCTTATAGAAGGGGTTATATCCGATACTCAACACAGCAGGCAAAACCACCGCAGTGGATGTGCCAGCAGCTTGAGGAGATTCATGTTGGTATGTCTTTGGGTCAAGCGCTACAACGCCGTAGTAGACACCGCTTGTCAGCTCTGGGTGCTTCTCTGACAGGTCATCGGCGGGGATATTAGCGGTGGGAATTCCGAGCTAGAGCCATCCAGGAGAGCGAGTCAGTGGATGTCTGTTGTGGCCGTTGGGCTGGGCTGTTATAGATTTCCAGATTCATGTACATACATCTTTGCTACCGCGGCCAAATCCCTTAATCACTGGCCCTGACAATCGCACGGGAAAAGGAGGTTCCGGGCCTGTGTCGGGACCGGCTACCGGGTCGCGCGGCTTGTCCGAGCCCATGATGGATTCTGTCGGGTGAGAATACGATGAAGCGTCGATAGTGATACAGACAGATCTGCTGATAGCGTTGTTTCGTGGAGTAAGTGCCGATTGTGTGATATAGGAATGATTTGGCGTGATGCTGTTGGGTGTGTCTGAATACGACCTCGGATCAACCCTGGTGGGGTTTATCACGATAAGGACGCCTTATGGACATAATCGGTCGCCTGAGACGCCAGGCACCAATTCCCATACGATCGGGATTATCGGATTTGAGGTTGGATTAAGCTTAATTCTTCGTTCAAGTTGAATGGTTCGGGGCTCAACGAAGTGACCCCACTCGATATCATGGCATTGTGCTCATACACTAACAATCCCGTCCCAGAGATAAATTTTTGGTCCCTTTTGAGCGCCGAAAAGAAAAACAAAGCATATCGACAATTCTGGATATAGTTCCAGGAATCCAAGAAACATAACGTATATACGAGAATAATAGCAAGACAAGATTTCGTGGGCCAGTGGTCCGAAAGAAATCAAGCTCAAAGGGACATACAATCCCAGAACCGAGAAATATGTACCAGGGTAAGAACAGCAGAAGGAAAGGAGACAGGCCTAATGTTGGGCCTTGTCGAGGGTATGAAAGGGTAATTTGAAACAGATGCAAAATCGAAATTCAAAAAAAAAAAAGAAATCAAATGCACGGCAAGAACTAAAAAAATGAAGGATTAGCATGAGACCAACTATGAGGGGTTGCGTGATTTTAGACTTACATTCATCACAATGAGCATCGGAATATCGAACACATCGCGTTTCACTGTCCAGCAGTACGCGCAGTCAACCTTTCCGTCCTTGAGGCCGAGCTGATTCATGCCAGCCTCGCCAGCAATGCCACCTTTGCGGAGATGATTGTTCCACTTTCCGTTATCATCAGACTGTGCAACCTCCATGTCCTCCTTGGTTTTATATTTGAGCAACTTGCACCGAGTCATGACACTACCGCGAGAATCGCCAAATGCCAAACGCGAAAAGTCCTCATAAAATTGTACAACGCTGTCATCGTCCAGAAGTTCAGCTAGGAATACCGGCTGGGGGCGTCCACTGCCGGAATGCTCTAACGTCGAGCCGCGCGGCGTGAAGCTACCACGCGACGTTGTCCCCGACTGGGGTGCGCCCGAAACACCGGTGTTGACGTTGAGGTTAGCCTCTTTCCCTAGAAGCACGTCTTTCTTCCATCCAGTCAGGATGCTGAACTCCTTGCCTACTGCGGCGATCTCGCCGGTGCGTCGGCAAACGATGGTTGGCGTTCCACATGCATTAATGAAATCCTCGTACTCCCAAAGCGTTCGCTGGAAGCATTTTTCCATGAATATGAGATCATCACGATTAAGGGTCTTAGTAGTTGCGATAAAAGAGGGTCGAATAGATGCGAGCGCCTTGGCAATTCGCACAGTCTTTTGTGGTGTAAAGCGACGTTGGATGAAAGCAGTGAGATTGTGGAAACCACTTGTGTAGGCATATGGCTCCTTCACGCTCTCGTATATTGAGGAAGGATTGCGGTGGCGCCGTTTTGGACCAACTTGCAAATTCGGGTGCTTCAAAATCGACGCTGACGTCACCTGACGCTGTCCATTCTGCACCAGGCTGTTGGATTTGGCCTTGGCAGCAGGAGCGATATTGTTAAATGGGCCATCATCGAATGTAGCCGTTGTGATGTTCGGACTTGTGGCCGAGCCAGGACTAGTGAAACTAGCTGGCCCAGTTTCGATCGCAAATGCGTGTGGTGCATTTGCTTTCATGTGTTCGGGGAGCATGCCATTTTGCCCAAACACACCTCCAACATTCACATGCTGGCCCGAGGCCGACCCGCTTGACCAATCGTTTAGGAGAGGATCGCCAAACATGAAAGGTTGATTCCCTGGGCTTTCTCCAAATCCAGGAGCTGGTGTGGAGAATTGGGCCGATCCACTGCGGCCGATCGATCCCCGCTGTCCTGCGGAATCAGTGGGAGAGTCACCGGCCGCCCCAGTGGCCATATGCCCAAGCATGCCGAATTCCAGAGCACCGTATCGATTTTCAAAGTTCATACTCGATAGATCAAAGTTGAAGAGGGCTGGATCACTGGGATCAAAAAATGGGCCTGCGAAGGGATTCTGGGACTGACTTGTATCCCCAGAAAGAGCAGTATTTGGAGTAGGCTGCTGGTTGACAGTCGAGGAAAGACTCGGATTTCGACCATTGGCGCTGGTCTTCATATTGAAAGTAGGTGAAACGGGTGATTGCGCGGTGAAGGGGCTTTGGCTCATGGAAGATTCTTGGTATTGGTTGTAAGATGCCTGCGTCTGGGGCGTAGGGTAAAAGTTGTTATTCGTGGCATTAGTTGATTGTTGGTTATGTTGGTTGTGCTGATGGCTGTGCTGGTGGCTGTGTTGCTGATTGGAACTGACAGCGTTTGCGCCATTCCTAGACATAGGCATATTATTCCGGAGTGTGGAGTTGTATAGACTGGTGTTGTTGTTGCTACTAACAGCTGGCATCAACGCTCCATCGGGAGCATCGTGGAGATATTTGGCCTTTTTGCGAACACCATCATGACAAGCATCTTGGAGGCCACGTTTGATGCAACGTTGACAAGGTCGTTCATCGCCTATACCCGATGTATATCAGTCAGAGATCTAACAAGGGCGGGGATCAGTCTATCATCATACCGCAAGTCAAGTGAGCTCGTTGGCAGGCAAAGCAAGCTCGCCGGGCCTTCTTCCGTCGCGGTCGGGAGGGATCCTTGGCATTGGCTGCTTTGCGGTCTGCCTTGGTATCGCCATTTGTTTTATGTTTTACATCCATTTGTTCGTGTTCTGTGATATCGGCAGAGTCACGATCCCCACTGAAGTCCTCTGCAGGGACCGGGGATCCGTTCTTGGCTTCCATATTCATGTCGGCATGTATCCCGAGGACGATTATCTATGGACACGTCCACAAAAGTGAGATCACTGAGTGTTTAAACCCCCGTGGCCCGTGGGTTACTTTTTCGTGCCTTCCTGTGTTGACCTAAAGAGACAAAGCGTGGTGGCGACAATACCAATGAGACCATCCGCGCTTCGATCTCGGCGGGTGAGCGGTTTCACGTGCACGAGATTCAGTCCAGCTTGTGAAAAAGAAAAAAAGAAACGATCGCAAATTGCTAGTCGTCTGTATTGGGATTCAAAATCCACGCAAATCAACTCTCGAAGGTCGGAGGGATCTCCGGTCCTTGGTTCCTATAATCGCGCGTCTGCGACTACAGTTGGCGGGGAATCGGAAGCGGAATCACGGGGAGTCGAGTCACGGGTGTAACGGGGGACGATCGACTGGAGATACGGCGGATGTAGAATGATCTGACACATTGAAGGATTTCAATGTGGTTTGTAGATGGAGAGAAATTGGCGCAAAGCTGACAGAAAATCCCGCAATGGATTCGGGGGCTGTATGACGGATTGGACTTTGCGCGGGGAAGATAACGAGATTTCTCAGGAGAGCGGTGCCGATGCGAGAAAGAAAAAAAAAGATTGAAGCAATCGAGGCAAAGAAGGGAAGATGAGGACTTTCAGAAGAGTGTTCCCGTGACTTCGAAGTAGGACTTCACAGTCCAATTGTAAAGAACAAAATAAGAATCAGAACAAAAATTTAATGGATTCGCTTTGAGAATTTTAGCGCTGGGTGTCATAAAAGACGCAAAACTATACTTCGTAAAACACCCATTTTACCTAATTAATTTGCTGGCGTTTTCTCTGGCGTTTTCTATGGTTTCTTTTTTTATTTTTTGTTTCTTTTCTTTGCTACCCAACGTACATGTTGGGCGTGTCTATTTACCTCTCTCAGATACATCCTATAGTTCTTCACTATATAACCCGAGGCCGATATATGTACATGCTTTCAGACAACTGGCAGTTCATTACCAATTTTACAACTTTCAGAGCATGACCGGAAACAGAAGGTAATGTAAGCCCATAGCTGAGCTCTGATTGGCTGAATTACAATCCTGCACCAGATCGGGTTCAGCGCATACCGGATGAGCTATATAACGCGGGGGCAATTGCGCACGTGCAACATTGTCGATTGCATAACATGTCCATCCTTTTCGATTCTGAATTATAAAACGTTGAATGCAAGTATCTTCCATTGAGTCATTATTCTTCTACAGCCGGTTCCCGAAAGTCACCGAGACTTTCCACCTCGGTTCCGTTTTATTCCGAGGCTGAGTACCGTGCTGTGCCGAGGCTAGAAGGCTCCCAATGCATCGCTCAGTTATGACGCTTGCTTTGCTATTAATTGTGATCTCTGCCTGCAATCGGGGTAAATTCGATTGGGGATGATTGCTGGTGACTAAATTCCAAGACCACATGACGCTCGTATGCTTCGCAACTGGCCTGGCAGACTGAGGGGGGTGCCGTCGGAGAATTAAAGCCCGGACCAGGTCTGTCCAATAGACGTATACTCATAGAATTTGCGGTATCTATTTATTCTTTGTGTGTTCAAGCATAGTAGGATGGAAGGATTCATCGTCTGTTTGGATCCAGGAACGTCCAGATCGAATATGCAAGATGTCTACAGATAGCATCAAGTAGAGGTAGGTTATGAAACATATATCCTTGCCGATCGTGCGTATACACAATGGATTATGATTCTTCTGCATTAGCTTCTGAGTCACAGGTAGTACAGCAGCTGAAGGCGTTAAGTCTTTATCCATGATAGTAGGTCAGGTGCTGACACTATCACCCGTAGCCAAACGTCTCAGCCCAGGCGGTTGCCAATATATGATCATGAGATACCGCGCTCCTCGTCCACCACACGCCGTATTAAGACAGACCAAGTCGGTCAACTCTTTAGATGCAATGGCACCGGTAAACCTGACGCTGACCTCGTAAAAAAGCCAGCCAGCAACCAGCCCGCTTGAAATGCAAGCATTTTATGGGGTATCATATATGCACAGAACTATCGATCACGTCTGTGATTTCGCAAATCGGCTCTTACTCCGGATCCAGCTTCCATACCGAAAGAACAGGTACCTGTCATGAATGTCAGTACAACGTTCAATGGGCTGTAACAGCCTCTGTTGAGTTGTCTGTTGCGAGAGTCACATGCAACTGGTTTATCAAACTTCCATGCGTGAGGCAAGTAGGTCGAGGTTCAAAATGTAGGGGAAGTAAACAGGTAGGCCATGGCGTAAGAGAAAATCGAGAATGTCAAGATCAACACTTACGGAAAGGGGGTCATGACAAGGGTCAGGAACGCTAACAAGGAAGTTGCCCAGTGATATCCGAGGTTGTTGTACACTGCATAACCGTTAGCTATAATCGTTACGTCTCAACTGTGTACAGGCCAGAATATAGCTGTCAAGCATTTAAGAGCTACAGATCGGCCTGTTCAGAACACAACGCATCGACTAGCATTGGAAAGATGTGCTTCATGCAAAACACGGACTTCCAATACTTGTTACAGCAGCGAGCTAGTGCGTATAACTTACTTTGGATTCCAAAAAGTGGAAATATGCCTCCAAAAGATGACCGAGTGAAGCTGTTCGCTGCCAGGGCGCTGGCGGCAAAAGTTGGATATGCATCAACCAGGAATGTAAAAATACCGGAGTAGACCAGGATTGTCCTAGTGGTAACACGATCTATTAGCATTACACGGCAAAAAAAAAAGCCACAAAGTAGACAGGGATCATAGGACCAACGGATGGTAGTCCGTCAGGTGAGATTCCAATATTCATCTTACCCTGCACCGAAAACAGCACTCCCAATGATAGGTGCAATCCAATGGACATTGGGGTAAATTGTCCAAGCAAAAATGAAAAGACCTATAGTAACTAACGGTCCTCCCAGGATCGCTATTTCATCAAAGTCAGCCATCGTTTTTGAGGGCAAGTTGTTCGGCAACTTACCAGGGGGCAGCCGCCACTCCGGCTGGAAGTCATCGACCTTGTTCGTGGCTTTCTCGTGGTTGCGTTCCAAGCGAACGTAGTTTCGGCGCCAGATCGGATCTGTCAGGATGGCGATAACCATTCCAACAAACATACCAAGGAAACACAGACCACGCTGCCACATTACAAGCCCATACACCTCATCGAAGACTAGCTGGAAAGCACCAAAGAAGAGATACAGAATACCCAATAGGATGGCTGAGAAAATGCAAAGACATAGACACATTGGCTCCAATGTCAAGAGTAATACGGGTCTATACATCGAGCGCACAACCGTCCGTGCCACAGAGCGCTGCATTTTTTCAATTGGGGCTTTCCACCGGTCATCTCCGGTTTCCTGGCGCAGCTTTTGCGCCTTACGCCTCAAAAGTCTAGAACCTTCTTAGCGTTCTTATTTCAGGATCAGGGAAAGGATCGGGGAAATACTTACACTGGGTGATACGTCTCCGGGACCAATAATATCATTGAGACAAGCAGCACCCCTGTCCAAATCAGAAGCACATAGAACGTCCATCGCCTAGGAAGGTAAGCTTCAATCATTAGAAATTCAATAAAAGGGACCCATACCATGTGGTAAATGTATTGATAAAGCCGCCAACCCTATTGGTTTACTGTTAGTGTTGATATCAGAGGGTACCCCAAGTACAAAGAATAACTTACAGAGGACCAACTTCGGGCCCAACAAATGGGCTCGCAGTGTAGAGCATCATAGGAAAGGCAAGTTCATGGCGATCAAACATGTCACCGACGGTACCTCCAGCAACACTCAAAAAGGCACTGCCTGACAGTCCATTGAAGAACCGAGAGATAAGCATGGTCTCGGTATTCTTAGCCACGGCGCTTGGAATCAGCCACACGAGAAACAGCGAGAACGAAACAATGTAAATGTTTCTGCGGCCATAAAACTAAGCAATGTCAGATCATTAACTCAAATTTAGCAGCAAAAGTCACAAACAAACAAACCTCAGATAACGGACTCAAAAACAGCGGACCAATTCCTAGAGCGAAAAGGGTCAACACATAGTCCCGGGAAAGACGACCAGATCAAGACAAACCAAGACCCCAGATAAAAAACGACAATCCAAGAGTCGCAACTTCCTGCGAACACCCAAATTCACTCATCATTTGGGCATATGTCGTGGTATACATCGAAGAGGTGCAAGTCCTACATGCAGTAGATCAGCTTGTGCGCGGCGCATAGAAACTACCTAAAGCAGTTATATACTCACACACAAAGTGATCCCATGGAAACAATTATGGTAATCAACCACCGTCGGGCTTTGCTCATATTTCGCGGATTCATAGGATCGTTCTCCTCCCAGCCCACAATATACGCTGCATCATCGTTCGGCACCGCAGCCTCGTTGACTTCATGGCCGCCAATACTAACGCCGTCATTCAATGACCAACTGCGTTCCAGGGACTTCACTGATTTAGACGCATTCGAGCTTTGTCTCTGGAGTGGTGCGCTGCTTTCGTCGTGGGTACCGGGCGAGGTAATCGGAGCATAAGTCACATCCTCAGATTTGCTGCGATCGAGTTCGTCGTCGCTCTTATTGCTAGAGGGAATTTCGGGGGCTTTCTGGGCCTTTTCTTCGGGGTCTGCGTGCGACACGTCTGTACTTGAACTCGGAGACATAGTCAAAAGGAAGGTCAGACTTGCTCATCTAGGATTTTTAAGTGTTGGCGATGAAGTCATAGAAAACAGGAAGAACGGTCCGAGGCTACCAAGGTACATGGGACTGGCTAGGTAGATATGTGATTCGCTATCTTGTGAGAGAATTTGGAAGAAATTCTTCTTAGCGTCTAAAGGATTGCGAAGTCCGAGCTGATCAATCAAGCGATCCCGGTGTGTTTATTTCCGTTTCTTAAAGCCGACCTCGGAAGTGATCCCCCATGTCAATTAATCATAGCCTTGTACACTATTCCATTAGAAGGCGTACAATGTAACAATATAGTTGACCTTATAATTCTAATGTCAATAATTCAGCTTAGATTCTATAAGATACATGTACATTGTTAGGTTACTATCTGATGCCAAGACAGCAAACACGTGGGAGCGTTATGTACGCAAGCACCATGCGGTACAGAGTGACATGGATGTATGTAGGTAGGTACATATAATTCTCCGAGCTCACAGTCTGAAAATATCTAGAGGAGAATAAGATATGCTCTGAGATAGAGATATGTTCGATTAAGCTAGAGCTAACACTACTACACAACAGAAACAATTCATCAACGTCGCTCCCAATGGGACCAGGTAGTCCAAACAAAAACTCCAACCACAAGTGAAAATCAAAGTCCTATGTCTCCAAGCCTGAACTCCTGATAGTCATTCAATTGAACGCTATCCCCAAAGAAAACACCGGATCTCAAAATCGAGACATTCCACAGAACTATCCCAAATTTGAGCTGTACAAGAGAAAGATACGCCAATAGACTCCAACATTTTGGTCAAGAGGACAGGACCTCTACAGAGCCTGGCTAAGCTGGCTCATGGCACCCGAAGCGTTTTCCTCAGCCCAAGAGCCCCAGAGTGCCTGCTTCCCAGCAATCTTGAGGGGACCACCAATAGACTTGGCGCCCTGGTCAACCTTGACAGCGTCTTTCGTGGCCAGCACCAAGACTTCGAAGAACATCTTGGTGGCATCAGCCTTGCTGGACCGCTGCTCGGGAAGGAGGTCCTGGAACAACACGCTCTTTTTCTGCTGGGTGGCTGAGCTACCAAGCTTCTCGCGGAGAATGTGCACAGCGTGCTTGGTGCCCATAGAGACCGGCTCGGTATCCACGGGATGCGCACTAGTATCGTCCAGCTCGTCCATGGGCTGGTTTATGCCTTCGTCTTCACTCAGATGCAAGACGTGGTCTTCATCATCTCCAGGGAATTCAATCTCAGAGCGCTGGTTCATAGTCGTATCGAGAGCGATGCCCTCGTCAATCGGGACAATGGCTTCCTCATCGCCAAGCTCTAGGGCAGGAACGTCGACGGCAGCCACATCCATATCGGAGATGCCGCTGTCGCGCTTGCGCTTCAGCTCACCGGCCTTCTTGACGGCATCCAAAGAGAGCATACCACGCAGCTCAGGTGCCCAACCGCGTCCACGGTCCTCGCCAAAAACACTAGACACAAAATTGCCATTCTGCTGCCTGGTCATGAGGGTGAGCAAGACGGGGTCGCGAGGCAAGAATGATGCGGGCTTCAGAATCGCAGAACGATCATTCTGCTGGTCCTTAATCTTGGAGCTGGAGATTGCGACTTCCTTGTCGAGTCCCATAAGCTTCTGGCGCTTGGTGCGCTGCCCCTGCTGTTCGCTAACGACATCAGGTGTTGCCGATACATCTCGGTTAAATTCTTCTTCCAGTTGATTCATCTGGTCGGATCCAGCATCAGAAAGGGGGCTTTCGGAGTCACGTTCAAATCGGTTGTCGGCAGCACGGGGTGTCTCGCCACCACCAAAGTCGTGATCGTTGTTGAAGTCCATGGGAACATCTGGAAGAAGGTCATTCAGATTGTCGTGAACATCATCTCCAAGATCCATCTTGTCGAGAGCGTCATCATCTCCAAGGTCCAGTCCCAGATCGTCGTCGTCGTTGAATTTTGGGGCATCATTGAAAAGATCTTCCTCCACGGGACGAGGAGCGGGAGCATCTCGACCAATTTCCATAGTCGGGTCATTTCCAAGAGGCAATTCATCCTCACCCAAGTCAAGATCGACAAGGGAGGGGTCTTCGAGGCGTGCGGGTTCTTGAGAGACAGAGCGGCGGAAGCTGCTGTCTGGGAGGAATTGGCTTCCGAAATCCATACCACCAGGGCGCTTGGCAGCAGGCTCCAGGTCGAGGGTCTGAGGGAATAGCAGAGACGTATCAAGGTTGGTAAAAAGATCAGATTCAGTGAGCACATCGGGAAGAGTAATGCCACCTGGAGCGACAACAGTTGAAGCCAAGTCATTGTTGTTTGTGAGACGGAAAGCCTGATATATGATTAGAAGCAAGCAAGTCACCGTTGGTTCAAAAGAGAGCGTACCATTTTAATCTTCATCAAAGCTTCATTGCAATCGTCGAGGAGGTAACGAGCCTTGCGGCTGTAAATTCGAACAACACCCAGCAGCAATTGGCCACTCAATCGCAGAGCCATAGGGGCTTGGCCCTGATCAACAATAGCGTTGACACTACTCTCGATATCCGACTGCAAGATATGCGACTTCGAAAGTTTGCGCTCGATATTAGCGGACAACCAAACGCGAGCCAACGGCCCGGTTTTCGATAGGAGGGTCTCGGAATAGAACATGGTGTGTGTGTGTGTGTGGTAACGAGATACTTTAGAACAGCAAAATTTATCTTAACAAATCCAGTAGGTGAAAAGACCCGCCCGGCGCGGGGGAGGTGTAGAAGGACGACGCGCTGAAGCCGGGAAAACAATGACTTGTGCGATGGCTCGCACTCGATAATTGTATGGAAAGGTAGATATGTGACTAAAAGGATAAAATGTTTGCCGCTCGATCGCGTGAGTTCAAGACATCGAAGACGATGAAGATGGGAAGGGTATGTGCGCGCGAGGGATATCCTGGAGTTGGCTGAGAAACCAAAAAGGAACGGAAGATGCGCGTCGGTGGGAATATCAGGCGGCAGCCGTGGGCCTGGGCGGGATTTTTGCTGATGTAATTGAGGGGGCTGGGAATGCGAGTCACGTGCAAGGTACACAAAGGAATACCAACGTTACCTACTCCATACAATGTATCACAACAATGCCCATTTGTTTTGGTAGCGAAAAAGAAGATAATCTTGCTAGCGCACAAGTATATGGAGAAATAGGATACCAAAGAAGACACTCAAATTCTTTTCACAGAAAATTAAAGCAACTTGTACAAAATCAACATTGTATACTCTGTCTGCCCTACACGTGATACTTTACGCTAGTCTAGATGTAGTGTCGGATAAACTCCCTACCCGGAATCACTAGGCCACAACGGGTAAAGCATCACCCATCATGGGACTCAGCCTCTTCTGAGTGGATTTATTGCTCTGAATGGGATCATTTTGCGGTTTGGATTATAGCAACAAAATTCCTTGCGCAAGCGAATTGGATTTTTTTGGTGTAAAGCCATCTGTCGGTCCCTTGTTTGTCGTCGACCCACTTGCGCCAACTCCGCAAATCTAGCTGTTAGTCTAGCCCCCGTGTGCAGCTGCTGCCAGATCGCATCTAACGTGAATTGTCGAAGCGTAGCCAATTCTTGTCGAGACGGGATGAACACTACTTCCCGACGTACTTTAAGTCTTATTTGATCGCCCTTACTAACTTATCCTCCAAAGCATGAGCAATGTCAAGGTCTGCAACACCTTCATTGCCGTTGCATAATGCATCAAACATCGACTTTCTGCAACCTCCCTCCACAACATCTATGACTGGACGGTCAAATGCTCCACCGTCGGTAAGTTTAAATAATACACATACCATGTGTGCTATCTCGTCCCGATGTCAACTTCTTGGTGCCGTTGGACAGGGGTATTTCTAACGTACGGTCTTGTTCTCTTCCAGACATCCACATCAACATATTCGTGGCTCGAACCTCATGAAACTGCCGAGCGACTACGAACTTCCCTTTTACATGGCCTAACACCTGCCGAGGCGGAGATACGCTTGGCCAGAGATGGACCGAACGAGCTTCCCCACGATGAGCCGGAACCCCTCTGGCTGCGGTTCCTTAAACAATTCAAAGAACCGCTGATCCTCCTCCTCCTCGGCTCTGCTGGAATCTCTTTTGTGATGGGCAACTACGATGACGCCATTAGCATTACTCTTGCGGTAACAATTGTTGTGACTGTTGGCTTTGTTCAAGAGTATCGGTCGGAGAAGTCGTTAGAAGCATTAAGCCGGCTTGTGCCCCATTATGCCCATTTGATACGTGATCTGCCAACGGCTTTCTCTGCGACAGCCGAGAATGGCGGTACGCCGCCCCTGGGCGCAGACATGGAAATGGACGAAATCCGGTCCAAAAGCCCAGGCTCGGCGTCTGCCGCGGTCAAGGCTTCATCAACCGTTCCCGCCAACGAACTTGTTCCCGGGGATTTGGTTCTTTTTACTACCGGAGACCGTATTCCCGCCGATATTCGAATCACTGCTGCAACACATCTCAGCATTGACGAGTCGAACCTGACTGGAGAGAACGAACCTGTGGTGAAGTATGCGGAAGCTCTGCGCAGCACATCTAGCGGGGCCACTCCAGGGTCAAAAGGAATAGAGCCCCCTCGGTCTCCGTTCTACGATGCACCGGCGAGCGGTGCTGTTGGTGCTGACATTCGATTGAACGAACAACACAACGTTGCATTCATGGGCACACTAGTTCGCTCAGGCTACGGCCAGGGCATCGTGATCTCAACCGGTGCCAAGACGGAGTTTGGCAGTATCTCAGCTTCGCTACAAGAAATTGAGAGTCCCCGAACACCGCTGCAGCTGTCCATGGATCGTTTGGGCCAAGAGCTAAGTTATATCTCCTTCGGTGTCATCGGATTGATCGTGATTATCGGTCTTGTACAAGGTCGTAAGATCCTTGAAATGTTCACAATCGGTGTTTCGCTGGCCGTCGCAGCAATCCCAGAAGGCTTGCCTATCATTGTCACCGTTACGCTCGCTCTCGGTGTCCTGCGCATGGCCAAGAGGGGGGCGATCATGCGAAGACTCCCCAGCGTTGAAACTCTGGGTTCTGTCAATGTCGTCTGCTCGGACAAGACCGGCACTCTTACCCTCAATCACATGACAGTTACCAAAATGTGGCATTTTGACTGCCCAGAACCATTCGAGGTGCAAAGAGAAATGACTTCGGTGATACCTCCTGGCCCCGCAGCGCAGACAATCCTTCGCGTTGGCAACATTGCGAACAACTCTCGCTTATCGCGTATGCATGCAAACTCGCCAGCCAGCGCATCTTCCGCGGCAGTACTTTCTTCGACCATCAACAGTGATTCGGCTGCTGCCAAGAGTCGGTGGGTAGGCCAACCCACCGATGTGGCAATCTTGGATCTAATGGATACTTTGGGTGAAGATGATGTACGCGATCGTATCAGTGCTCGCGTCCATGAAACCCCGTTCAGCTCCGAAAGGAAATGGATGGGCGTTGTTATAGGCAGCTCTGGTACTTCAAATGGAGGCTCCCATGTTGCCTATATCAAGGGTGCTCTCGAACAGGTCCTCGCGCGATCGGATACGTATCTCACCAAGGATGGTCGAGAAGTAATTCTTGATGAGCCCCGCCGCAAAATCATCCGGGAAGCAGCAGAAAACATGGCATCAGATGGTCTTAGAGTTCTCGCTTTTGGCAGTGGAGTTGTTCGTGATATGTCTAGAGGTGGCAGAGGCTTTGGCAGTCGGTCGTCCCCGAAAATTATTCAGGGTGATGATGACGAGCGATATAACGGCTTGGTCTTCGCTGGTCTGATGGGTATGAACGACCCACCGCGTAAAGATGTGCACAAATCTATTCGACGCTTGATGACTGGAGGTGTCAGGGTCATCATGATTACTGGCGATGCCGAGACAACAGCTGTGGCCATTGCGAAGAAGCTTGGAATGCCTGTCACCGATTCACCACGTGCACGTTCTGTCATCCGAGGCGATGAACTAGACCACATGACTGCTGCTGAACTTGCCCAGGCGATTTCAACAGTCTCGATTTTTGCCCGCACAAGCCCAGATCACAAGATGAAGATTGTGACAGCACTTCAAGCCCGCGGCGATGTAGTTGCCATGACCGGTGATGGCGTCAACGATGCGCCTGCTCTAAAGAAAGCCGACATAGGTATTTCCATGGGCAAGCTTGGGACCGATGTTGCCAAGGAGGCAGCGGACATGATTCTGACGGACGACGATTTCTCGACCATCTTGCGGGCAATTGAACAAGGCAAGGGCATTTTCTATAACATTCAGAACTTCATTACGTTCCAGCTTAGTACAAGTGTGGCTGCACTCAGTCTTGTTCTGCTGAGCACCACTCTTGGCTTCAAAAATCCACTGAATGCTATGCAGATCTTGTGGATCAGTGAGTACACCTGCATCTGATACCGTCTCCTGTCTTTATTTAACAATCATTACAGATATTCTCATGGATGGCCCGCCCGCCCAGTCTCTAGGCGTCGAGCCCGTCGACCCTACCATCATGAACCGCCCACCACGACCTAAGACAGCCCGTGTTCTGACAAAGCCTCTGATTCAGCGCGTCCTCACTTCCGCCATGGTCATCATGGTCGGCACATTGTCAATCTACATCAGTGAAATGGGCGATATCACCGACGGTAGCCCGGTCGACAAGCGCTCGCGCATCGTCACCGCGCACGACACTACCATGACATTCACCTGCTTCGTTCTATTCGATATGTTCAATGCACTGACCTGCCGCAGCGAGAGCAAGTCTGTCCTGCGCGGTGAAATGCCACTGTTTGGAAACAAGATGTTCAATTACGCTGTTTTCGGTTCCTTGGCCGGCCAAGCCTGCGTGATCTATCTGCCGTTCCTGCAGCGCATCTTCCAGACGGAACCCCTCAGCATTGGGTCCTTATTCAAGCTAGTCTGCATTGCCAGCTCGGTGTTCTGGGTGGATGAAGGGCGCAAGTATTTGCATGCGATCCGTCGTCGGCGTGGGATGGGTTCCGGTTATAGCGTCAATGTCTGATCTGCCGTTGCGACGAGTGCACGGTTTGGATTGCCTGTTACGATTTTAGAGGTGTCCATAGTATAGGCATGTGTAGCTTATCATATTTGGATTGATATCCCCCATATACATAATAGAATTGTCGGTTGTCGGCATACGTTTTGTGTACTCCCATAACTTATGCGGCCATGTTAGTCAAGTCTCATTGGCAGTCTTTCTGGTGGTCTTCACAGATTGCATACTCATGAGAACCCCACGATTTATATAGAAGAGACTTATATATGAGGCTCTATAATTAAATAAAGTAGACGCTCGGTGATAAAACTTTGCTTCACTCCCTTGGATTCTTGGTCTATCACACTATATAGACATACAGACACTCCTCGGAAATTCCTCCCATTCCCACATTAGTCGACTGTAAAGAAAAGATCCTAAAATTTGCAATCTAGGCAAAAGCCGTGGTATCACCAGGGTGCACGATATAGACGGTCATTCGCAGCCATCATTCCCAGGTACCATAAGCCAAGCGCAACTGTGAGCTCCGGTTCTCGTGATGTGCCACTCTGGGATCAGGGGATCGGATTGGCCAGTCTTAAGTCCCCATTGTCATTGAGTCGACGAATTGGAACAAGCTCTTGCTCAGTAAGGATGAAGCCGAACTGCGTGCTATGCTGCTTCATGTACCAGTTCACTTGTGCCAATGCTTTGCGGAATTCCATCTTCTGAAGCAGATTGTCTTTCATGCTGTGGGACCATTTCCATGAGGGCTTCATGTCACCTGGGAGGCGGTTCGGACCCAAGCTGCGTCTTTGACTGCCAGCTTCGCCAGCTGCATAGAGCGAAAGATCTAGGGTGAATTGATCCGGCGTAAGAGCATCCGAGCCTACCCCCATCAAGACAGTAGTGCGTTCGGGAAGCCCGTGATCAAGGACTCGATCGAGGACTTGGTTGAAAGCAATATCTTCCGGTCGGCTTGGATTGCGATTATGGGGAGCAACACGTTGCCTGGCGCGGTCCTCGAGGTGTTCAAAGGTATGCCGAAGCGATCGCCGGATTCTAGCATGGAAGTATTCACCAAATGCGAGATGCAGACCACTTTCAGAAGTTATCCCTCGTTCTGGGGTCATATGTCGAATAGGATCATACTCCATGTGGATCATGTTGAGCAGCGGGCCAAATTCTTGCAGGATGGTGGTTATATTGAAGTCCTCCCAGTCATCAATGTTGCGAATGTCACCTGGTCCATAGTTTGCATTTGTTGTGTTGGTTTTAGATTGGCCGACATCGATGAATTCGAAGCTTGGTGGTCCTTGTTGTAGATAGGCGAGTAAACTAACTTGGTTTGCCATGTTCAAAAAAAGCCTTGGAAAGGTTGGGAGATTAAAATTCAAAACAGAATCTCTCTGTGGATGAGCTTCTTATATATCTTCGAGGCAAGCATAGCGAACAGCATAACACCCGTCCTCCTTCAAACCAACCTTGAGCGCACGCCCCCAAATTGCCATTACAACCATTGGCAGAAATTAAATCGAGCCAATAAGTTGAATTGAATAACGACAGAGGTAGTTATCATTGGCAATGCTCACTCCAAGCTAAGCGCTGGGGCAAACTGAAACGTATACTAGATAGCACTGTATAGCTTTGCGTGATAAAGAATTCAGTCACACTTTCCATCAGAAATTATATCGTAAAAAAGTCTCTCGCACAAAGTATGCTTTCCGGGCCTTTTTCTGCTGTCTACCTACAGACTGGAAAGGGTGAACATTACCTTGAAAATATTTAAGAAGGATGACTGGGAAGCCCACTGAGAAACCCATTGAGAAGTTCGCTGGAAATCCAAAAGACCACTTCACAGCCCTGTAAGAAAACCATTATAGGGCCGCATAACCGGCCGTCTACCATTGTAGTTATATGGATATTAGATATGTATGTATAAGACACTTGTCTATATCATGTACATTTGTATTGTTTTCTTTGCTATCTAGTCATAAGCCGAAAGGGCTGAGAAAGTACCACCAAAAAAGGCATATAAAAAGACCAAAAAGATATCGCAAGGCCGCATGAACCGCCAACTATAGTATATGAATTAAAAAATCGGTAGCAAAGCTAACACAACACACTTAAGATGAAACAATATGACCAGTATATATGGTAGTGGCGCCTTCCTTGGGTATAGCTTTGAGTAACGCTGTGACCAACACATATACTAGAAGCGCCGTTGCTATAGATCTTCAAGTATTGAGTCCTTGTCAACTCACACTTCATCACAGGATCACATATACGGCCGACTATTTTCAGGACTTGTAAATCGAGAATGTCATTGGTAATTCTAGCATAACCCACGCAAAGCGAAACGCCGGAACAAACATACTAAAAACGCTTTCGATAGGTAGCTTGAGCTATTCGAGACCTTGGGAGAGATACAATTGATCCCATTCTGCCTTGTGCCACCGCCTTATTCTATAAAGATATTCATCACATTACCCCAGTTCTTCCCTCAGTGTTCCACTTACCTTTGAAATTTGTTGCCTTGAGACCAAAATGGTTGCAGAATTTGATCCACCAAATATTGACATTACCAATCTGGAATTTGTTGAGATTATTAGACAGACCAACAATGTGTTTCTGTGCCGAGCCCGCTGGCAAGACAAAGACTGCGTGCTGAAAGTGGTAAATGATGAAGTTACACATTGTGCCTGCGATCTCTAACAGCCCCGATAGTTTCCTCCCTACAAATGGGAGAGGATCCACCCACCGTTTCGTTCGATTGATCTTTTCAAAAATGAAAGTCGGGCATACAGTCGATTGAAGGCTCGAGGCTTTTGCGAACGAGGATCTGTGCCTGATTTCTATGGGGTAGTTGAGAATATTGACCCTGAGGCGAAGGGCTGGCAACCACAGCTCAAGGAATTTCATGATAAAACATTTCCTCGAGGTCTTGATCCCAAGGCTCGACCAAACGGTGTTTTGATGGAATACATTCCCGATGTGAACATACTTGAGCTCTCTAACTACACAGAGACAAGAGCTCATAAGCTCCGGCAGCTCCTATTCGAGATTCATGAGGCTGGGATTGTACACCTTGATCCTTATCCCCGAAATATGCTAATCCAGGGTGATTCCGATCGAGTACTCTGGATCGACTACGAACTTGCCCAGATATTTGATCCAGAGCACTCAGAGCACCCCAGATTCTTTGACCAGGAAAGAGAATTCATGGATGCTTTTGTTGAAGCACTGGTAGTTTCGCCAATCCCCATTCGACTGTTAACTTTCTGGCTGACTTCTTTTGCAATACAGGACAGAGATTATAAGCTGGGAAAGTATGAAGAAACGCGGTCGATCTATTTTGAGTGAGCTCTCAGAGGCGTAGTGTTGGCCTCTCAATCTCATCACTTTCTTGAATAATGTTTTTTTTTTAGCGGATAGATACTTTTGTCATATTGTTGCTGCTGTTAGCTATTGCAATTTTATTCCGAGTCCCAGGAGGTACTCTTTGTTAGTCATTGTCCAATCCCACTGCATACGACATAGTCTATGGTAAAGTCAGGGAAACTACTGAATCTCCGTAAAATATGGCTGCTCTGTACTATGTAGAATACACCACCTGTATGTGTGATTGGTTACCTTACCCACGAAGCCAAAAGAATTACAAAACAAAAAAATAATGACCGACGCAGGGATCGAACCTGCAATCTCTTGATAGTATGAATCGTAGTCAAGCGCCTTGCCATTGGGCCAGCCGGCCTTGTTATGTACCATGTCGGTCATGATGTGCATTATGAGCCATGACAGTCAATTAGCCTTGGACTAACTCTCATTTGTGCATTAGCAATCAACCCAGTTGTTTCTTATCCGCTATAGAGCATGGCGATTTTGTTTTTTTTTTTAACAAGTTTCAAGTTGATACAAGAAGGAGGATATTTTTGAATGAATTTTTGTGGGTGTGGTATGTACAAGAGCGATATTATGCGCGTAGTTCGGATGTTTTTGCCACGGAGTGGGATGGGTATATACCTACTCCGTAATATAGAATCAAGCTATAGAGGGTCTGGTCCATCCATGGATACTCCAAAGAATAGAAATTTTCCCATGGCTATAAATACTCCGATGTAAATCGTTCTCGGCCCAGGTGAGACCCAGTCCCGCGGGAGCGGATGACCCTAGCGGATCGCTGCAGAAGGCAAAGGGTCAATTTGTACTCCGTATACTGTAGGACCAAAGACACATACAATATATATCAACATGACGATATGATAGAGTTGAATAGAGTTGAATCATTGCACGTGTACATGTACTCCTAACACATGTATAACATACCTATGAACTGCGTACGGAGTTCGGAGTGTGTAGATAGGGTCAAGACTCCGGCATCGGTCCCGAACGCAAAAACTCATCCCTGCCCGACCCGGAATCGGGAAAATCCGGAAACGAAAAGGCAAAACGGGACCTTATCTGTCGCCAATCGTTGGCTCGTTCCCACTTCGATACGCTAATGCCGAAAGGGAAAGGCTTGGCATGCGGCCGAGCCCCACTTAGCGCCAGTGGCAACTTGGGCTTTATCTGTAGCCAATCAGAGGTAGTAAGATACAGCGTCACTTGTCCAATTGCTGGTGGCGGATAGGAATTTGAAGGAATTTGCAGCTTTGAGATCCGAAAGAGAGAGATAAGCTCTGCCTCTCGTTCTTAGATCTCCAGAAATTGGAACTCCACGACCCTATTCTTCTAGAAGAATCACAGGGACCTGCAGGATATTGGTATGATAAGCTATCTGTAGTTAATCTCCAGTATGGAGGTGTAGCCCTGAAGAGAAATAAAGATATATAAGGCTCAAGTCCATGTGGAACTGCCGAAACTTCCTAGGAACTATTCCCCGCGTCGAGTATGGTTTGATCATGATGTCCAAGGGCCAAGAGCCTTCAAAGGTCTTGGAATTGGTGGAATTGTTGATACTCATCCCTGGCCACTATCTTGCGGTTGTTTGAGCCGAGCATGACGAGATGACAAGATGTTAATTTTTGTATACAGAAAACAATCTAATGAAAAAAAAAAAAAAGAAATCCTCTACATACTCTCAAGAATCTGAAGAACATGGAAGGCAAGACCTGGGCAGCCTTGGTCTGGGGATAACTCGGGCATTATCCCATTGATACTGTCACAATCTCTGACCAAACCTACCACCTTCTTTTTTTTCCTTCACCTATCTCCTGATCTTCCTTTTCTCCCTCCTTTTTCCTAACCGCGCCTTCCTGTCCAAAATTGATATTGTTTCAAGCTGAATCTCGTTTAACTTTTTCATCTCTGGGCATCTTTTTTTAGGGGAGAATTGCTGGGAATTGCTTTTTTTTCCCTTCGACTTTATACGGACCCACTGTCGATCCGACTTATCTTCTGGATTTTTGGCTCGAGAAGTCCGGGTTTCCTCTATTTTATATCGTGGCGAATTCCTTTTTCCTTATTTTCTGGAATATACCGCCTTTTCTCTTTCTCTTCAACTTCTCTACCTCACTTCATCCAGCTTCGAGTTTCCCATTTTTTTTTTCACATAATGGCGTTCAGCGGGAAAGCCCCGTACGCCCCGGACTATGCCTCCTACAACTGGATTGGAGCTCCTTCCAACTATGATCTTGCGACCAACAAAGACTTGGGCGGCGATTCCCGTATGTCTACCTTTCCTACAGCGTCATGCGGTATGCTCTAACATCGGTCTTCTGTAGGAACCGAAAATGTGAACAAATGGTTTCAATCTGGTGACCAGGCCTACATCATCGTGGCCTCGGCCATGGTCATGGTCATGGTTCCCGGTCTCGGATTTCTCTACTCGGGATTGGCCCGTCGAAAGTCGGCCCTTAGTATGATCTGGGCCTGTATGGCTTCCATGTCCGTCGTCACCTTCCAATGGTATTTCTGGGGTTATTCACTCGCTTTCTCTCCGACCGCGACCAACGGTTATATCGGCAACCTACGCAACTTCGGTTTAATGAATACATTGGCTGATCCGAGCCCCGGTTCTCCATTGGTTCCCAATCTGCTCTATGCCTTCTATCAGGTAGGTTACGGGGGATTGATCTGGTTTCTTCTGAGGCCAATGCTGACCTTGATCGATCTCTAGATGCAATTCTGTGGTGTCACTGCAGCTATCGTTATGGGAGCTGTTGCTGAACGCGGTCGCCTCCTTCCTGCTATGGTCTTCGTTTTCATCTGGGCTACCATCGTTTACTGCCCAATAGCCTGCTGGGTCTGGAACGTCAACGGCTGGGCATTCAAGTACGGCGTGCTGGATTACGCCGGTGGTGGCCCCGTCGAAATTGGTTCCGGTTTCACAGCTCTGGCCTACTCGATGGTCCTCGGTCGCCGACAGGAACGCATGATGCTCAACTTCCGCCCACACAACGTCTCTCTCATCCTCCTCGGCACAGTCTTCCTCTGGTTCGGCTGGCTCGGTTTCAACGGTGGTTCTGCGTTTGGAGCTAACCTGCGTGCAACCATGGCCTCCTGGAACACCAACCTGACTGCGGCCTTCGCCGCCATCACCTGGGTTCTGCTTGATTGGCGCCTGGCTCGCAAGTGGTCAATGGTCGGCTGGTGTTCCGGTACCATCTCGGGATTGGTAGCTGCGACACCCGCCTCCGGATTTATCTCTCCCTGGGCCAGTGTCATCCTCGGCGTTGTGACCGGTATCGTTTGCAATTATTCCACCAAGATCAAGTACTGGATCCGAATCGACGACTCTATGGATGTGTTGGCAGAGCACGGCATCGCTGGAATTGTCGGTCTGCTGTTCAATGCCTTGTTCGGTGACGACGCCATCGTCGGCCTGGACGGTGTCAACACCGGCACCGGTGTCGGCGGCTGGGTCATCCACAACTACAAGCAGCTGTACATTCAGATCGCGTATATCGTTGCTACCGCCGCCTACTCTTTCGTTATGTCAGCCCTCATCGCTTATGCTATCAACGCTATTCCAGGCCTGAACCTGCGCGCCTCCGAAGAAGCCGAGCTGCTCGGTATGGACGACGACCAACTGGGCGAGTTCGCCTACGACTACGTCGAAGTTCGCCGTGATTACCTCGCTTGGACCCCCCAGAATCACGACCAGCTTGCAGATGGCCACCAGATTCCCGCCGCGCAGCGTTACGGTATCGGCGAACACAGCGAAATGATGCTTGGTAGCCCACCGCGTGAGATGATGCTCGAAGGCCACTCACCCAATGGTGAGATCAGCCAGAGCAGCCGCGGTGGCAGTGAGGGTGACATGGCTATGCACGAAGTCAAGATCGCTCCCGCTCCTCGCCAGGCTGCTGAACAACATCCTCCGAATACACAGGGCGCTGAACCCGTTGTGATGACGCCGGTCCAAGAGAAGACGGAGACCTAATCAGTTTCAATCCGTTCTCCTGTCCTCTCCTCTTCTCCAACTTTTTCCTCCATCTCTTTTGCATGGCATACATCTCGCATACGCCATTCCGTCCAGCAAGCTTTGATTATTTTTCGCGTTTTCGCTTCTTTATCTCGATATCCCTTGAGCGTGCTTTTTTTCTTGCAACCAAAGGCCTGGGGCTTTTGCTATATCTTCAACCTAAACCTCCCGACTTTTCTCGATACCTCCACCACCAACTCTATACCACCGATTTCACATACAAACCACAATCTACCCTCACGCTACTAGCATACCTCACCACTAAACCAACCTACACCTTCCTCGGGAAAAGCAACTTGAATTTGTCTAATCTGGCCTGGCGTTCTATTGTTCTATGTCTTTTTATGGCTTGAAAATGGCCAAACGGGGATATCAAATTGGGTTTTGTACGTGTATATAAACTGCTTCATTGAATTGCAAAGGAAATATCTTGTTTTCTGTCTTCTGTCTTCTGTTTGTCTGCAGTATAGAGCGAGACAGCCTGACTTGACTAAGTTGAAATATATCTATTCTCCAGATCATTTTCCCCTCAAAGCTCGCTTACAATTGTAGATTGTAGATATGTGCTCCGTAGATAAGAATGAGATCCTCGATGGTACAAAACGAGAAGGGAAACAAAAAAACTAGTCAAACAAACAAAACACAACAAACAATCCAATCTATACAAAATCACCTCCAATCAAAAGCCCTAAAAACAAAGACCTTTACCTCCTAACCATCCCCCTTGCCCTAATCAAATCCTCCCTCCCAAGCTTCTCAACTACCTCTGCCGCAACTCCACCCCTCCTAACCTCATCCCACTCATCTTCGTCCATCCCCATAACAAGCGTCATCTGCACACAACGCGCAAAGCACTCCCGATACCGATATCTTCCTGGCGCACCAGGAACATACCCAACATCAACAGCAACCCCAACAAGCCCCGCAACATCCCTCTCGAGATGTGCCGCGCCCAGCGCGTTAATCCGAGCCCCGTAAGACCAGAGTCTCTTCTCAAGTAGACGAGCCAGGTACGCGAGTGTCACGCCGAGGACGCGGTCGAAGGCGGAGGGCGTGAGGATCCGTGCGTATGGTGTCAGCAGGTCATTCCAGAGTGTGGTGAAGCGGGGCTTGACGAGTTCTTTGTTGTCGAAGCTGGGGCTGTCAGCTTCGGTGTTGGGGTTCGGGGCGTACTCGATATCGCGGAATGTGTCTGCCAGGATCGGACGGAGCCGTGGTTTTATGGTGTTGTTGAAGATTACTTGGATTCCGTCTGTGAGGAGGTCGGTTACTTTGCTTTCGAAGGTTGTGGAGAGGGTTTGGAGGGTTTGGTGCACTTTCTGTGCAGTGGTTGGGTTTGCGAAAATGGAGAGGAGGTGTGGGGTTGCTGGTGTGCTGGTGTTGGTATCTGTTGGGAGGGGAGTCTTCGAGCCCGTGTTGTTTTGCACGATTCGTCGGATGTAGTCTACTCCCAGGTCGAGGTTGTTGATTTGAACTAGGAAGGAGATTGTGGTTTGTTCTGCGGGTTGACCGCCTTGTATAGAGCGTGGGTAGCACTCGTCACGCATCTTGCGCTGCGTCATACCAATGAAATCGGAGCCTAGAACGCGTGAGAGGGTCGGGACTACGTTTGTCACGACAGCTTCTTGGGAGGTTGCGAGCGACTGCTGGATAACTTTATTGACGATGTACATGATGTCGTCGACGGCAGAGGTGATGTGTGGTGGGTCGGCTTTGAGTGGACGCTGGGGATTTAGCGTGAGGCCTGATGGAGACTCATCTAGCTGGAAGGCCTTTTCAACGGAACGACGGAAGAAGAAGGTTGTCATTGCGTTGAAGGGGGCCACCAGACGATCGTTGATCTTTTGGGCCAGAGGTGACTCTCGCACGAAGCTGGGGAGCTCGAAGCGATTATCGTCCTCTGCATCACCCTCACTCGGAGACTGAGAAGTTGTTAGTGCCGGTATCAAAGAAGAGGCGGATATTGCGACTCACGTTACATGTATCAGCCAGGAACCGACAGTACAGTGACCACCGGCCCAACATGATAGCCATTTCATTCAAGACACCATCGATCTCTTTCATATCCACACCCTCATCGTCGGCAGCAGTGCTCGCCCCCATGGTAGGGGACTGTGAGCGAGGCGGGCCTGGTCGCTGTGCGGGCAGGAAGCTTTGCACCAAGAAAGTGAAAGCGTAAGATTTGATATCCATCAACTTGCGATCCACATGTCGCTCGTCGCTCCAGGTATCAAGAATGATACCACCTTGTACATCAGCTTCGACCTGTAGCCGTTCAATGACCCGTCCCATCTTGCGGGGGCCATAGTGGTGCTCAACGAGCCCGCCATGACTATCGATAATCTGCGCAATATGTTCAAACAGCTTGGTAAGCGCATTGGCATAGAAGAACCCATCCTTAGTTTGAGCACCCCCGGCAGCCCCGTTAAGGTTAGCCCGAGCCTTGGCCGCGACACCTTGGCACACATAACGACCATAAACATCAAGTCCGACTTCAGACCGTCCGATAAGCGGGAAAAGCTTGAAGAAGCGCGTAATCTTGGCCCCATCATTCTCCTTAACCGCCTTCTCAAACTCACGCAGGAACAGCCCGCACAGCGACTCTGCCGCGTTATCCAGCGTTACACTTGGGGGGTCAGGCACTTCAGCCGTAGGAACCATCTCTGCAGCAAACGCACCATTGACGACTGTCGCTGGGACCTGAGCTGCACGGTGGAGGTAGCTGGCGGCTTTCTCCCAGTCCTGAGGCGCACCCATCGATCCTGCCACGCCGAGCGCACACGCCTTGAGCTCGGCAACCTGCTCGACGACCTGTAGAGTGGCTTTCACCCGAGCCTGCTCGAGATCTAGCCGGCGAACCGCGCTGGAGATCCGGTCGGCGGTGCTGGCGGCTTCGGAGAGCATTCCATGGCTGATGGAGCGGGTCGTGCTGGCGTGAGTCCCAATGTTGGCGCGCATCAGGTCCAGCCTGCCCAGCTCCCGCGAGAGATCTTTTTGGGATGTTACCAGGGCATCGAGGCGGGCGGTCACAGACGCTTCTTGGGTGTGCAGGTGGGACAACGTGGCTTTGATCTCGGCGACGGAGCTGGCATTGAAGATATCGGGCGGTGGGGGTGGAGATTTCTCTGGTGAGGCATTGGTGTTTGGAGGGCTTTGAGGCATAGAATTATGCCCATTGGCGGTTGCAGCCATCCTGGGCGCCATTGGTTGTCGCAAGTTGGTTTGTTGATGCCACGCCAGTTGTAGGGGGGGCTGCGGGCGGTGAGGGTGGGTTTTACAGCTTCAAGCTTCAAATTACTGTGCTACGTCAAGACTGGGATTCCCAAACTTCAAATTGTTAAAAAAAGATAGAAATTGTCTCAACGTGCCTTTGTTTTCTTTTTCTATTCCTTTTACAATCTTTATTTTCTGCGTCTTAAGACGCGTTTCCATGTGGTTGTGAATCAGGCCGACGTCATTTTCCCCCACGCTTCACATTCCATATCAGTTGCTCTTTTTCAGTTGCCTTTTTTCTTTTCTGTGAACCTTTCCCTGTTGATCTTTTAACTAATATTATCTACACTTCTCAAGACTTGACTATTGATTTGTCAAGTCCTCAGCCGCCATCATCGGACGTCGCAAACCCAGACGTCCAAATCGGCGCACCATGGGTAACGAATCGTCAGTCCAGGTGGATGAATCCACGATCCCCTCGGTGCTTGAGGCTCGCAACATTGAGGCACTCGCCAAGTATGTGAAACAGCACAATGTAAAGAAAGTTGTGGTGATGGTATGCACTATGAAGTCCCCATAAAATTGTGCATCGGAGAGCTGACTAGACATACAGGTGGGAGCGGGCATCAGCACTTCGGCAGGCATTCCAGATTTTCGCTCACCTGATACGGGAATCTACGCCAATCTAGCAAAGCTAGACCTTCCAGAGCCCGAGGCAGTCTTTGATATCGGTTTTTTCCGGCGTAACCCCAAACCTTTCTATGCGCTGGCGCACGAGTTGTACCCCGGACGCTATCGCCCAACCATTGTGCACTCATTCATTAAACTGCTTTACAACAAAGGGATACTCTTGAAGCATTTTACCCAAAATATTGATTGCCTCGAGCGCCAGGCAGGTGTCCCAGGCGAGAAGATTGTCGAGGCCCATGGCAGTTTTGCGTCACAGCGCTGCATTGAATGCAAGGAGACCTTCCCAGATGAAGAGATGCACCAGATAGTATCCAAGTGCGAAGTACCCCGCTGCCACCATTGTAACGGCCTCGTCAAGCCAGATATTGTGTTCTTCGGTGAATCTCTTCCCTCGGACTTTTTTGAAAGCCGCTCTCTACCAGAAGAGGCTGATCTCTGCATTGTCATGGGAACTAGTCTGTCCGTCCAGCCATTTGCCAGTCTACCTTCGATGGTCAGTCAGGGCGTGCCTCGCTTGCTCATCAATATGGAGCGTGTCGGTGGCCTTGGATCGCGGAGTGATGATGTCTTGGTGATTGGAGACTGTGATGCTGGAGTCCGCAAGTTTGCAAAAGCTATGGGATGGGATGAGGAATTGGAGGCATTATGGGAGGAAACCAACCCCGACCCGCAACAAAGGGCGGAGGAGAATGCCCCGCTACAGACTCGAGACGAACGTCTGCAAGACGAAGTGGACCGACTAACGGAGGAGGTCGATCGAACTCTGGGGTTGACAGATGCGTATCAAAATAAAGTACGCGAAAAGCTAGAGTCACACGAGAAGGCACACCGCCAGTCTGAGGGTCTCGACCATGTTTTCCCCCATTTGGCGCGTAAATTGTGAGATACTATGCAATGTTTTTAATAAGCCGAAATACGATATTTCATGTTATTGGAGTTCCTATATTCTACGTACTCCGTAGACAAGGTCGTGGATATCCTAGTCATGCCAAGAGAATGGATGTCGATCCAACGTTGGAAGTCATCAAGACCGTACAGAGGATTCAAGGTTGTATAATTTGTAAAATTACGAATATTTATAGTCCACCGAGATCCCGAGAATTTCCCTCCCCATATTTTTCCCCTTAGCTCCAATTGACTTTCTACTTTCTCTCCGATAGCCAAAACAAGACATCTACAAATCGCCCCACGTCTTTCCCATATCGTCATTCCCCCCCCCTTCCCAACTTTCTTCCTCTTTTATTTTTCTCACCTTTCAATTTCATAGTCATCATGGTTGGACTTGGCCCTAAGCACCCGCCGTCCCGGAAGGGTGAGGCTCTTTATACCCCTGTATTGATTAATATGCTAACTATGTCGTACAGGGTCCATGCACGAACTGCCCCAGAACTTGTTAGGACCTATTCAGGACTTCGAGAAGGCTTTCGGAGTGGATCGCTCCAAACTCAAGCAAATTGTGAACCACTTCGTCAAGGAGCTCGAGAAAGGTGAGTTTGAGAGCCATCCGTAACTCTCCGATTCTCCGCATCTCTAACAAACACAGGCCTGACCGTTGAGGGTGGTAATATTGTGAGAACGACAATCCCCCGATCGCAACATGGACTAACACTAGAAAAATAGCCCATGAATGTCACCTGGGTCTTGGACTTCCCCGATGGAAACGAGCAGGGAACCTACCTGGCTCTCGATATGGGCGGCACCAACCTACGTGTTTGCGAAATTACCTTGACCGAGGAGAAGAGCGCTTTCGATATCACACAATCCAAATATAAGATGCCGGAAGAGTTGCGGACTGGAACCGCAGAGGAGTTGTGGGAGTACATTGCCGACTGCTTGCAGCAGTTCATCGAGACCCACCACAACGACGGGAACCTTGCCAAGCTGCCCCTCGGCTTCACTTTCTCCTACCCCGCCACTCAGGAATACATCGATCACGGTATTCTGCAGCGCTGGACCAAGGGCTTTGACATTGATGGTGTCGAGGGCCACGATGTTGTTCCCCCTCTTGAGGAGATCTTGAAGAAGCGGGTATGCTTGAGATGTCACCTTCCCCATGCAGGTTCAAAAGACTCACAAGGCTACAGGGCCTCCCCATCAAAGTGGCAGCCCTGATCAACGACACCACCGGTACCCTCATTGCTTCCTCTTACACCGACACCGAGATGAAGATTGGCTGCATCTTCGGTACCGGCGTCAATGCCGCATACATGGAGAACGCAGGGTCTGTACCCAAGCTCGCCCATATGAACCTGCCTCCCGACATGCCCGTCGCCATTAATTGCGAATACGGGGCCTTCGATAATGAGCACGTGGTACTCCCCCTCACTAAATACGATGAGATCATCGACCGCGACTCACCCCGCCCGGGCCAGCAAGCTTTCGAGAAGATGACCGCTGGTCTGTACCTGGGCGAAATCTTCCGTCTCGCACTACTCGACTTGATCGACAACAAGCCCGGTCTGATCTTCAGTGGCCAGGATGTTTCCAAGCTGCGCAAGCCCTATCTGCTCGATGCCTCCTTCCTCGCCAACATCGAAGAGGATCCTTATGAGAACCTCACAGAGACATTGGATCTCTTTGAACGGACGCTGAACATCCGCCCCACCCAGCCAGAGCTGGAGCTAGTCCGCCGTCTCGCTGAACTGATCGGTACCCGTGCCGCTCGCCTGTCCGCCTGTGGAGTCGCAGCCATATGTACCAAGAAGAACATCGAGTCCTGCCACGTTGGTGCTGACGGCTCCGTCTTCACCAAGTACCCCCACTTCAAGGCGCGTGGTGCCCAGGCCCTGCGCGAAATCCTTGACTGGGCCCCTACCGAGAAGGACAAGGTCTCCATCATGGCTGCCGAGGATGGTTCCGGTGTTGGTGCCGCCGTGATTGCCGCCCTGACACTCAAGCGTATCAAGGCTGGCAACCTCGTTGGTGTCCGCAACATGGATGACATGAAGACCCTGCTTTGAGTGGGGTTGACCTTGGAATGGTCATGACCGTTACTATCGTCTGATTCATGACAAAACAAGTCCCTTACCGGTGGGATGGAGTATATCTTTTTGAAATAGTGGTTTGTGCTACTTGGGTTTGGGGGAATTGATGAAAGATTTAACGATATATCGATTCTGTGTATGTTTAGCCTCGGAAGGCTCGTGAATAGAATACCATCTAGTGCCATTACTCCCTCAACCGTGCACTGTAGCTATTTTACGTGATCTGGATCATCTGCCTCCACAAGTGGACATCTATCATCTCTCTTCTCCACCCCTGTGTCCACTTTTCAGAATGGCCGATTAACAGCCCGTATTCAGTGCCGTCTGCCCTATAGCTTTGGTATTTCAATCTGCAGAAAGAATCAGATCACCGAAGCATTGTCTTTCAATAGAAATTGGCCAAGTACAGCGTGTGAGATGTGGAAACTCTCATCCAAATGTATGAAAGTGGTGAACTTGGTGCACGTCAACTGAGCGATGCGTCTGTTTACCGTGTCGAAGAACAATGAGCTGGAAGGAACCCCTGAGATGATGAAGTGGCGCTTTACATTAGCTATCCATTGGTGTGAGGTTTGCTTCTAACCGTCTGTCCAATATGACATTGGTGTATTTAGACTATGTATCGTCAATGACGCAGAGTGGACCACGGGAGTACCTCGGGAAAATCTTCTATGAGCGCGGGCGCCACCTTCCTAGTTTTTGTGCCCCACTAGTTTCGCAGGATGAAATGAGGTATACAGCATACGAGAATCATCTTATGCTTGTATAGTCTATTTCGATGTCATGGCTTTGGATATTTCCTTTTTCGATTTTCCAAGTGGACGACCGAAAAAAGGCGTACAAGGAGTTCTTTATAGTGGACGTATTTATATATAAAGGCACAACAGTTATTAGATCGGTAAAAAAAAATCTTACCCCTTCGAAGTGGACAATAGAAAAATCAGAGTAAGATATGCGTAATATTTGACTGAATGGCTTTAGTACCAATTTTAGTCCTACCTACCTACTATAAATAAATCATAGATCTATATAATCATTGTGCCGAGGTTGTAAAAGAGAGGGGATACAACCTAACGAGATATACATACTACGATGACTACGATAGAAGTAAAAATGTCCACTGACCTAGAAAGATTGATGATAGATATAGATAAACCACTACCGCCATAGAGCTATCTACATAGCCCATAGAGGCAACCTTAAGAACGAGGGTTGACTAATCGGCAAGAAAGACCTTGCTCGATCTCGAGAGGTATACCTATTATGTATGGACACCAAATACTATCACATGACCCTATATAGACACGAGAACACGAGACCAGGTACTCGTTGGCAAGTAAGCCCCTCACTGATCTTCATCCTGCATTTCCTTTTTCATCGCCCATCGACTACAATTGATGCTTCATTCTTTCATCAGTTCCAAGTCCCGTCGAGACGAATCTTCCTACGGTCACTTGCAATATCTGTTCTCGAGTGAAAGGAAATTGGATTGGAGGAAACTAGGGTTTTGACTGTTCTGTCTATTTAGACCTTTGGTAGCGCGAACCACGGTGTGATCAGTCAATCCGACCCAATATCCTCCCAGTACCAAGTACCAAGAGCCTAGTACTCCAATATGCAGTGAGTATTGGAGTGATTTCTATAATTCAAATACTCTAACCCTCAATTAGGGATCAGTCCAAATATGCTGCCGCAGTTGGCCAAGAGACCTATTACGATCTTGGCTCGCATCATCGATCAGTGACTACCTCTTCAACAGAAACCCAACTGTGGTTCGATCGCGGATTGATATGGGCGTATTCTTTCAACCATGACGAGGCAGCGCGATGTTTCCAACGAGCAGCGGAAAGTGATCCCAACTGCGCCATAGCGTTGTGGGGAGTCGCCTACGCAACTGGGCCGAATTACAATAAGGCTTGGAAGTTTTTTGATCCAGAAGATCGCCGGACTTCTATTGCAAAGGTCAATGATGTCCTAGCACGGGCACGCAAGCTGGCTAGTAATGCCACCCCGGTCGAGCAGGCATTGATCGAAGCCATTGGCGCCCGCTTTCCCCCGTTCATGACATACCAGACGACTTGAGTCCCTTTGACCACGCATACGCAAATGCCATGCGCCCTGTGTATCAGAAATTTAGCAGCGATATAGACGTTGCTGCCTTATTCGCTGAGGCATTGATGTGTATCACCCCACGCGGACTGTGGGACTTGGATACTGGCAAGCCTACGGGGGATCACACGGTTGAGGCTCGCGATGTCATTGAGCTGGGGCTGCAGCAGACTATTGGTCATAATCATCCGGCACTTTGTCATCTGTATATCCACCTGTTGGAGATGTCCCCATTTCCAGAATTGGCTCTACCGGCTGCGGATCGACTCCGTGGGATGGTTCCGCATGCTTCCCACATGTTGCATATGCCGACGCACATCGATGCAGCGGTGGGCGACTACCGCCGGGGTATCGAATCCAACCATCAAGCCATCCTGGCCGACGACATTTATTTTGCCCGAGAGACGGGCACAGTCATGTACACAGCCTATCGGGTGCATTATATTTGTGCGAAATTGTATTCCGCTATGATGTCCGGCCGCTTCTCGGACGCAATGTCTGCCGCAGAAAAACTCGAAGAAGTTATATATCCTCAAGTACTGGCGATCAAAAGTCCTCCGATGGCCGACTTTATTGAGAGCTTTGTGGGGAGCAAGGCACATGTTCTGGTGCGTTTTGGTCGCTGGGAGCAGGTTCTTGACCTTGAACTCCCCGCAGATCCTGATACATATTACGTAACCGTAGCTACCATTCACTACGCCCGTGGGCTTGCATTTAGCGCACTTGGGCGGATTGCCGAAGCGGAAAATGCCCAGAAAGACTTTGAAACGGCGCGTAGGGCAGTCCCTAGTACACGACTCAATAGTATTCCATGCAAGGAGGAAGATGTCCTGGGGGTAGCCTCAGCTATGCTTGCTGGAGAATTGGAGTACCGGAAAGGAAATATTGAGGAAGGATTTTCTTTCCTTAGGGAAGCCATTGCGCGCGAGGACAGACTTGCGTACTCTGACCCACCCCCCTGGATGCAGCCCGTCCGTCATGCCCTCGGTGGCTTACTCCTGGAGCAGAACCGCATCGAGGAGGCAGAAGTATTATTCAAACAGGATCTGGGATTTGCCCTAGACTATCCTCGGCGCAGGGCAAAGCTCAACAATGTGTGGGGGCTGCATGGCCTACATGAATGTCTCACTCGCCTTGGAAAGAGTACCGAAGTGGCTTTTATTGAATCTGCACGCGAGATTGCTTTAGCATCAGCAGATATTCCAGTGAGTGTGTCGTGCTTTTGTCGAACGTCGGCTGGAAAGGGCGGATGCTGTTAGCTCTGGTTTTATACTTGTTTAGTTCTCAGGAAGAAAAGAAGAACATCTTCAATTCCCATCAAAAGAAAAGATCGTAGAGCTACTGCGTATTGACTATGTGTGGATTTTGATTATCCCTGCTCGCCACAATGTAGTATCTCGGACTAACGGATATCTCTCACAATTTGTCATATGAAATTGAACCTTGAAACATCCTGGATGAAGGATCAAAAGTCCACTTGAGATCACTGTTATTTTCCTAAAAGGCTGCAGGTTTGCTTGTGGCCTACAGGTAATATGCCTGCAGCTAATATGTATATTTATAGACAAAACCCCGACAAACGATTTCTTTGTGGGGCATAGACTTCTGGGACAGCATATTCGGATTATGGAATCCAAGTCCGAAGCTAAGGAATGGACTCTTTTGACAGAATTGTAATATACCCAAGGATGATTTGTGCATGGATTCTGATACGGGGGAAAGCATGTCTAAGAGCAGAATTCGGGGTGAGATGCCGTAGTGCCGTAGAGATCTAGTTTACATGGAAAGTCGCCATGAAGTCGCCTTTGATCACATTCAATTTGGCACCTTGAGATATCAGATAAACAGATAAACTGGAACAATAAGAGACTGTGGAATAAAACTATTTCATGATTAGAATCAGTATTCCGTATTGCGTAGGGAAGTTAGGGATCGCCAGATATTGGCTTGTCCATAGTGTTTGTTTAAGCATTTCCACTGAAATCAAACCATACCAGATCAAGTTAATGATCCAACGATGTAACGGATGTGACGGAAATTAGATCGGTATATAAGCCCTTGGGTGCAGTTGCCGCTTTGGGTAGTTTCATGTTGTAGATGTTCTGTCTGATGCTTTACCTTGATGCAAAACTGTGACTTCACGCCTTTCACCTGTTTCGATTAGTGGTGTTATTGTCTGAAGAGGAACATATATAAAGGAAACCATGCCAGTGTGTCTGTCCATCTCATCTTTTCTGTTTCATGAAGATTCATTCTTTTGATCTTTACTTCAACATGCGAGTCCTAAACCTTGGCGTTTTGATCAATCTTGCTATCTCAATCAACGGTTTGACCGTTGGCCGTATCATTCAGGCACGCGGGCCAGTTCCTTCGTCTTCCCCTACCGGAGATGCTTGGAGGACTATGCAATGCTCCCAGATCCACGGTGACCCTGCAACCCAATGGCAGGAGGCAGGTGCCAAATCTGCTTGGGATGCTACTATTGCAGCCTGGAAGGAGCAGTCAAACACTCATGGCTTCCCCCAGTTCTTCAGCAACTATACTCATGGGCCTCAAGGTATGAGGTGTAACGACATTGTGTCTGACAACCGTTGCTCCCAGCCTGTTGAGTGCACTGATGATACTATCCCAGCCGGGTAAGTCACCTCATCTATCTTTTGCCACTTACCATATAGCATCTCTGATAACGAGGTAGTGCTCTGATTCTGAATGGGTTTGCGGGTGTCCATCAAGTAGGTCACAAACTATTTAGAGAACGGTCATACCTTCACTTGAATTATGCTGATTACTTGTCTAGCTCCACGCATCAGTTTTCCAGGCCATTGGTCTTGCCCAGGCCAGTGTGACAAACAACGTTGGCACCTTCGCGTCTGCATTCGCCCCACAGCCTAAAGATAACGGAAACATGATCAAGATGATCATCGATTCAGCAATGATAGTCGTTAGCCTTGGCGTATCTTTGCTGTATAACGTCTGTATGTCACTCCTTTTAGCCTCTAAGCTGATATCATATGAGATCTAACGTCTACTAGTCCTTCAAGCGATGGAGAATGTAATCGCTAGGGCCATTGCCGCTGACATGACGGGCACTATCCTCGCTACTTCTGTTTCCTACTATAAGACAAATATGAAAGGGTACTACTCCTCCCTCACGTGGATGAACCCTAGCCTAACAAATTAATAGTGCGATCGAGGGACTTGGAGTCCAGAATACCATCGATTCGTTTGTAGGCGTGACTATGACATCTTGGAAGAATATGGAGACATCTTATCTGGATAGTATATTTGCTGGGACCTCCGACAGTGGTCTCGAAGCTCTTTATGCCACAATCAACAATGGTACTATTGCCGCAGCTATGGACAGGCTTGACCTCGCCCACACAAACACCGACGTGGAAAAGATCCTCTACGGTCAGATGATCTCATACGCATGGAGTGTTTCTCCCGATAAGGCGCGCCCTTTTATCTGGTAAGTTAGTCTGATCACTTTCTTTCCCTCTACCTGCAACAGGGGCTAACTCGCACCGGCTAAAGGCAGAGTCAAGATGCATGCGACAACGAGACTAAGACTATCCCAGAGAGTGCCGGCGTGTTCGTTCCAAACACCGTGTCAGCTCTGATCAATGTTTGTTACAAAGGGAAGATGCATTACTTGCTAAATGCCCACCAAAAAAGCGGGACTGGCTTCCCTGCCACTGCTCTTCCGGGTGGAACCCGTGATACTCTGGACGGAAAGCAATTCGGTGGAATTACGATTGAAGATATTGTGATCAGCAGCATTGATGGATGGTCTAATAACAACCAGACGAATGGATATCCAAGGGCCAATATTGATGGTATCGTGGCCAGCTTCGGTGGGGATATTGTCCCTAGTGTCCGAACTCCTGGATTCTTTAGTTTACCGGTATGTATAAATGGTGGCGTCGCCTCTCAGAATATAGTATACAACCGGGACACAGGATCACCATATTTCCCTTGTGAAAACCCCGAGGGGTACACCAGCACTGGTACCAATATTGTGAGTCTGCTGAATAACCTCCTTTACTCCTATCCGCAACTGATTCAGGAAATAGCATGTTAGCAGGGGTTGCATTGTGATCAATGATGCAAAACGCTGCCAGACCTGGGGCGGAGCCTACAGTAAGTCGTATCCGTTTCATTCACCAGGGAGGAGCTAGACTGACAGTCCTAGACGTCGCGGATCAAAACACTGCCAATAGTACCGCTACTATTTATGCCATGTTCGACGGCGACAATGAGCTTGATCAAGTGACACCTGGTTGCAAGATTATGGCAACATGGCCTCGCGATTACGGTGATCTGGACTTCTCTGATAACTGCCTGAAGGATCGCAGCGGACTGTACAGCCAGTGCTGCGACACGGACACGCCCAATACTGATGTTGTCAGTAATCCATATTCCCATTCACCCAGGTGATACAGTGAGTAGTCAACATGGATCCAGATCTGGGATTGAGGGTCCAGCGGAATCCATTCAACATCCAATTCCGTCACTGTTTTATGTATCTAAGTGCCAATCGTCCTCATGGCGATTATTGTTGTTATTGATATCCTTGTGCCTCGGACATCAAGCTTTCAGATAGATTGGGAAATTTGTCTGCTTTCCAAAACATAACCCACTTTCTCTTCTCTTTCTGGAACTACGATCGTAGATCCAGTATTTGTGAAGAATGGTACCCAGTCGTGTGTCCCTATTTGCTTGTAGATTTGATCTCGATGGAGATACTCTCTGTTGCAGCTACTGGCTGCGGCAAAGGGAGAGGGAAAATGTCTTAAATAAGGAATATATGGGAAATTCTCTTCTTTTCTATAGTAACGTTTTGATAAGCAATCTAGTCAACTGTATTTGATCTCTTGGTCGGTCTTTCTCATGTGGTCTATATGTACTACTAAGATCAACAAAGACTGTACCCAAGCTACTAAGCTGGAAACCACTACCAAACAATGTATAGATAAGGAATAATATATAAAATACACATTTGGAGACGATAAATTGGCGATATAGAACACGGGAGCACGGCCTACCTACATACGAAGCATACCCCTAGCCAAACGATATAAACTCACCGAACCTATCTAGAAATGTGTTCCATAAACCACCTAAACCCCGGAATCTTCCTGCTCAATATCAAAAGCCGCATCATAAGCATTCCACGAAGCACAGTTATCATCGAGAGCTTTTCGATCAATCAATGGCTCAATCTCACTCTCCCTCTCCAAAAACTGCAACGCAAACCCTTCATCCGTATGCCACCCAATATGGCAATGCATGAGCCACGCCCCAGGATTATCCGTCTCAAATGCAATAAGCAAAAATCCATTGCCAGCCAACATCGCCGTATCCCTCCGCGGCGGATTATTAGTCGCAACACTCCCATCCCATGGATTTGTCCCCTGCGCCAGCACAAAGAAATCATGTCCGTGCAAATGAATCGGGTGCGTCACCGGGAAACTCGTGTTAATCATTAGGTAGACCCATTCATGCGCCCGCGGCAGCTCAATCACTCCACTTGATGCAGTGAAGTTGGGCGTATTTTCATTGTTGAAGAGCTGCAGTAAGGTTGGGTCTTCCCAGAGGACTTGCATCGTTGTGCTGTTGAGGTACCAGCGGAAGAGATTGGCACTGTTGCGTCCGAGTGTCACGTCCGTCAAGTTGTTCCAGTCTGCGGTTGAGACTTGCTTGGAAACTTGCGGAATCAGGCTGGAGGCGGGCTCGTCGACACATTCATCTGTGAAGGCGTAGGCCCTTGTTGTGGGTGTACGAGGGCGGTTGCCGTAGTAAAGGATTCCTTTTATGTTATTTGGATTCGCATTTTCCGAACATGCTTCTTGGGGAATTGCGCGAATCCAGAATGAGTCGGAGATTTGACGTTTGTTTGCTGTTACAATTACGTCGTAACGTTGTCCTGTTGGATTCTTTTGTTAGTTGTTGTTCGGGATTTTTTTTTAAGGGTTGGAGTTAGGGCTGGGATTTAAGATATCAAAAAGTAGAAAGAGCAACGAACCCATTCCAATATCGATATGATCCGCCGTAAACGGCTTGATCGGCACAAAATCCGCCGCAATAACTGTAAGCGTATGATTATCAATCATGAACTTCCAGTGTGTATCAACAGCCGAATTGACAATCCTCAGCCGGTACGAAGTACCCTGGTTGACCTTCATATGGAAGCGCTGGCCCGTAGAATTGGTGCCATTACCAAAGACGTTGGTCCCGTTGATCAAGCCATTATCTAAAGTTGGCGGACCGATCGTCTGAGCCTCCATATATAGCTCATCGACAGTGGGATGCGACCAGTCTGTCAGGAATAGACTGCCCTTATCGACATCGTAGTTGGCCGTAGCAGGGCCATTTATCACAATGCCGCCAAAAACACCCTCCCACGCCTGCAGTCCAATGTGCGAATGGTACCATGACGAACCGTACTGCACGGCGCGCCATTTATAGGTTATGCTTGAGCCCGGCGCGGTGGGACATTGCGTAATGGACACCACGCCGTCGTTGCCATTCGTGTAGTTCTGTCTGATCCCATGCCAGTGAATGCTCGTCCCGTTCTGGGCCTTGTGTAGGCTGTTCTTAACGTGAATTACGACCCAGTCGCCCCAGTCGGCGAAGATCGTTGGGCCGGGGATTGTACCGTTCACGGCCATTATAGGCCGGCGGAACCCATCTGGTGCGGCCATCAGCTCATCAATGTTGAGCCAATACTCCCGTGTTACGCCTGTGTCTGGTACTATCTGGGTGTAGTCGGTGTTAACATCGTATTGGCACCATTTGGACCGTGTTTGGCGCGTGTTTCCTGCACAGGGTCTTCCTGTTGGTTTGGTGATCTTGGTGGTGGTTTTGGTTTTGGTACTGGTTGTCTTGGTGGTGTGCCCGCCCTTGGTTGTTGTCGTGGGTCTGTGGAATTGTGGCTGGACATTCACTTCACTGACTGGATCTCCTGGAATGGCAGTAACAGAAGCACTCAGGCCAAACACCAGGAGGAGAAGAGCTTGGAGCTTCATAGCTGCCAGGTCTACCCACTCAGGGTAGCTTTATGACGCTCAATTCTCTTTGCGGCACGATGAAGCTCTATATGGAGCTTGAGAGAGATTCAAAAGCTTTGGGTTTAAGAAAATGAATGAGACTTGCTGCTGATACACAAGAAAGAGACATGTCCTCTATTTAAGTCACTATCTTATATATGATAATTGTATAGCACGGCACGAGGGGAGAGATTTGACTAGGATCAAAAAACGCCATGTTTCTTTTCACGAGGTGTCCTGCATTCGTACCTCGCTGGTATACCTTGCCAGGATATGCCAGGCAGCCCTACCAGCGATGCCGTAGGAGACAGGATCTTGTGTTACGCATGATGACCCGACAGACGAATTATCATGTCCAAGAGTTATCGTCATCCTCCAGCTCGGGTGTTGAGGCTATGTCTTCAGTGGATATCCGAATAATAAGTTCAATATGCCTCGTACCCACGCCAGGGGCCGTCCGCCATTCAAACTGTCAGAAAGTGCTCGGCTCAGGGGTCTTCCCAGTGGCTGAATTTGTGTCACATTGTCTATCAGAACACGTGTGCACTGTTCATTTGGAATTTGCAGATATTGTAGGTGGCTGTTTTTCTCTCGTAAGAGTACTATGGAGAAGATCGATAGCCTGTGTTTCCACCGAACTAGGGCTGTATATTTCTCGGATCATCGAAAGTAAACCAGTGAAAGAGCCAATGAGGGAGACTGAGTATCGGAAATATTCTCTAGTTCGATCGCGGTCAGATTGGCTTTCAGGTCTTACATTAGGGTTATGCTCCCCGACACGCAGCCCTGTTTTATGTTGTAAGCGCTTTCAGCCTGCATGTTTATACGAGCGTAGGTATCCCACGTGTGTGTTTCGGAAATTAATCTCTCATATATGTCTCTATTCTCTATCTTGAGAAATCAGCTGGTTTGTCCAGGATTGTCAATACTTGCGAGCATTGACGCAGCGCGTTGATGATCAGTGGATGATTGATCTGACCATTGGGGTTGTAATAGCCGGGATCTGGATTTTGATATGGAACACAACCAGACGATGACAATTTATTTTTGACTGGGATCTTAGTCTCATCGTCAGCTCGTGCCAGTCCGAATCACAAAACAGGGCTTGGATCGCAATATTCGGGAAATAAGAAGAAGACCCATCGCTGGAAACCACATATGTCATTGGGTAGTTTCTACTGCGCTGCCTGCTACTAATTTCTAATTACATCAACTGTTCATCTCCTCGACTGTGCCCTCGTGACTCTTTCTGGTTTCTATAAGTTTTGCTCAATCCTGTCCCAATACACTGCCGTATACACCCCATATGACTTGTTCATTGCAAGATGATATCCCTTTCTATTCTCCCGCTTCTAGCCTTTGGGCTCATTTGCTCTGCGCAGCCACTTGAAAAGCGGCAGTCAACCAATACCACCTCCTTCAAACTATATGCGTATGGCCCAGACATCAGTGGACTGCCCATCTTCTATTTGAACGGTAACTTAGGCCTACTCAACTTGCAAACCGGCAGCATTAGCTAATCCACGGCATTTTCACGATAGGTACTGCCCATGTTGCAGATACATCCAAAGTAAGCGCAACGACAATGGCCGCAATGACCCCAGTCAACTGTAAGAACCCAAGATCTCTGTCTGATGCAAAAACCACAAGGATCTACAGCTAACTATGTAACAGTCACCGCCTCCACTGATGGGTCGAACATCTTCACGGCACATCCCAGTCCCACTGAGGGAGTTGCCACGCTCTCGACTAATACCAATAATCTGTGTCTAGACCAGGGAAGTACAGACTCCAATCCAGTCGGATTCACTGGATCGTCATCAAGGGAGCAGACGAACCAGCTTAGCAATGTGTGGTCCCTGTATGGAAGCTACGTGCTAGTCAGTGTGAGCGGGGCCAACTTTTATGCGCGACAGACTGAGGACGGCTTGTACTCTGTGCTTTGGAGTAGCTCAGCTGAGGCGATGACGGATACTATACCGCTAGTACTGAGGACTACTGAGCCGGCAACGGAGTCTGTACTGACCTGAGCTGCGCTGGGGTTAGATAGGTTGCCCAGGTAAATGTCCTGGATTTTGGTGGTGCACGGAGTCTCCATACATGTAGGAAGCAGGACAGTATGTGTTGGCGGCCTACGCAAATCGATATCGGCTCTGTTTACCTGAAGGTTGTGTTTAATGTGCTATCATGCAGCTAGTAACGCGCTATCTCGTATCATCTGTGTCTGCTGCATTAGCGGCAATGTGGGGGAGGGGGATACAGGGGTGACCAAGCGATTACTACACTATATATGACATATAGCATGCACTCGCTAGTTCTAGAACATGAAAGTCCCGTATTCTCTAATTTTCCAAAGTAGTTCAATTGGAAATATTGATGTCTTGAGCATTGATGCTTTGCCTTGGAGCTACAACAATATATAGTTGAATTTTGGATTTCAAGTTATAGCAGAGATCGCTGGTTATTGTGATAAAAAGCAGGAAAATAATGGAATGTGAATATATATACCGCTATGGTACGTAGGTATCAACCACTAGATCATTAGGCAACTGGTGTGAGTACTCAATAGCAAGCATATCAAAGAACATAGATTCAAGAAGTTGCTACATAACCCTATTGCTGATATATATGCATGAGGGAAACGCAGAGTTGTCTCAAAGAAACGGAAAAGAAGTACATATACGAGACTGTCGCATAAAACGCCTCGTTGCTGTGCGCAGCCGAAGGGGGAGTGAAAGCCCAACAAAAGATTAGCGAGCAAAGTGTTGGTTGTGAAGAGGCCCCGGCATAAAAAAAAGAATTCACAGGGAATAAGATTGAATAAAGAAAAAAAAGTCGAAATCAGACCTGAAAAAGCAAAGACAAAGAAAAGCATTGGATGCGACAATTGATATCAAAAGCCAAAACTCCCCCAGTTCTCCCAGACCCAGAAAACGCCAAAAAATAACATGGAGAGCATGATTCTCGAAAAAAAAAGAAAAATAAACACCGGATCACCCATCCCAAGCCCTTGGTAAATTGATATCCCGAACAAAAAAAACATTAAGCAGAATCCATTCTACATCTCTCATACCGAATGCCTTGTGCGAAAACTAAACTCTTGTCGATCGTTTCCGCAGACCAAATTCTTGTTCTTGTAGCTCTCGTATCAAACGAAGACTTTCCTCGTCTGCACCTTCGTCTCCAGTGATGTGATGAGTATGCTTGTGCTGATGCGGAGATAGTGATGTAGGGGCGTGACGATGGAAGTGTTTTTCATACATCGGAGAACTCTTTTTCGCGTGTGAAGACGAGGGGCGCGATGAAGGCTTTCTTGTTGAGGCTGGAACAGGAGTGGTCTTGCGATCCCCGATGGTCGAAGACGTGGCTCGTGCCGCTGACTTCGGAGCCCGGGCTGTACTTGCATCGGGCGCAAACCGATCGACGTGTCGAGGTTGGCGAGACGAGTGTCGAGAGCTAGAGTTTGGTGTGTGGAGAGCAATGGACACTTCCCCTTCCACAGACTGTACGGCATCTCCCTCTTGGACCCCATCCATCTCGTCGGCCAGCGACGTAGGCGGCGACACCAAGGAGGTGTTTGGCTTAGACGAAGGCACAGGCACGGGATTGAGATCCTTTGCATCCGCAGACTCGGTCTGGAAAGCAGGTGGTGGTGATGCGTACAGAGGTTGATTTTGAGGTGCCTCATCTGCCACTGGTAGATGCTTACCTGGCTCAATTTGACTGAGAGGCTCATGATCATAAGCATCTATTAGATCACCTTGCGTCATCAACTCATCGCCATCGTGATCGAAGAATACTGCAGGCTGCGTCATAGGTGATGTGCTCTCCTGCTTCGCTTTTTTGACTGTAACAGGCACGTCATCTTCTTCAGCAAGGCGTGCTCGTTTGGCCGAAGCATTCGCACGAGGTTTAGAGCGCTCTTGAGCCTTAATTGGATCGATCCGACCGTACTCATCGTGAATGCAACGGCGCTAGTATTAGGTTAGTAACATGAAAAGAAGCGAAAAGAGGTTTTCGGGTAAACCACAAACCTTGCTCTTCCGGCAATCGTCACACGCTTTGCTGCGCCCCTTTTTCCCTCCATTCGTTCCGTCAGGGCTCATATCGATGAGACGATTGGCGGCTATTGTAGAATTGCCCATGACCGCAGATTGGAATCTTGCAGAGCTCTCGAATCGTTCCAGATCAACAAGATGTCCATTGTTTTGGAACCCGGTTTGTGACGCAATCGCCGCCAAAGAATTCAAGGCAGAGACAGCATCCTGGGCCAATGAGGAGGGCGTGCTCACCCCGGAGCCAGGTGTGAAGGCATTGACTGCGACTTGCCCGTTGAGCACTAGATCACCAGGTTCATCTTTGTGTCGGCATCGAATGCGCCGTTTGCGACAGGCGTCACACGCAACTCGCTTGGGGCCAAGACCCGAGGCTCGTTGCATAGCCCGGGGCTTGGGTGTGGCGATATCTTTGATACTCGATTCTGGAGCAACACTGAATGACACTGGTGTTGCACTTCCATCAGACTGTGCATAAGCAAGGCCGCTGGCTGGGAGGTTCGGGGTTGTAGGGGCCTCTTCTGAAGGCCACTGGACCGCTTGTCTTTCTGCATAGGTGCGCTGGTTATCGGCATTGCGCTCGGATCGGCGGCTCGGTCGTCCTGCCGGCTTTTTATCTGCAATGGAAACCTTGGGGTTGCTTTCTATGACGCCAGGTCGAGTCCAGAGGGGTGCCTTTTCGTTACCACGTTTCCAGGCGACCCAAATTCCGAATTTTCTGATCATGTCCACGGGATCTCCCGTGATTTTGGGAATGGAGCGTCTGACTGCGTTTCGAACGTCCATTGAGACGACTCCATCAACGGTATAGCCACCCGCGATGAGTGCGGTCCGTAGCAAATACTTAGTCAACTCAAGTAGGCCCTCCAATTCCGCCTGTGAATAAAAACGTGCATTGTGATGGGGAGAACCTGGGGGTTCCTGGTTGGCACGTTCTCCAAACTCGTAATAAATTGGATAATGACGGTGGAATCGATAATTCTCATCCTGCATGAATGCTTCCATCACATTTTGCGGGACGGGGTCATCCTCCAGATACTTTTGAGCCGTATACCACTGGATCTTTTGGAAGAAAGGATATCGGAACTTCTTAGGGACTTTGGTCTCCTTTTCGATATTGAGGATCTTGATTTGCATCCCGTAATTCAGCTTGGTCAAGAAGTTGCCACCGATAACCAAACTATTTTCCGGTGTCCAAACTGCATGAATCCAGCCGGACGGAATGAGCATGGTATCTCCCTCCGAGAGATCCACGCGGTAGCATTCCTTGGTCTGGTTTCCAAGGAAAATCGAGTCCTGGGCAGGAGAGTTGCACCACTCCTCGTACTTCTTAAGATGTTTGTCTTTTGGGGGAATGAAGAAGAAGGTCTTCTTGCCCTTGAGGATATGGTAGTACACCGAAGACCCGCCGAAATCGATGTGAAAGTCGGTATAGCAATCAGCAACAGACATCAGGCAGTAGAACTGGACTTTGGGATATTCGCCAATTGCTTTCAGTTCCTCTGGCCACACCGCATCTTGCAGATCCAAGTCACGCACGACCTTCGGTCGCCGGATAAGTCTGCCAAGTTTGCTCTGCGATACCTCCAGGCTGATGACATTCCTAACAGGCTTGTCCTGCTCATTACTTTCGTAGTAATCGGCCCATTTCTGCATGTTCCACCTCTTGTCCTCCCCTTGCTGAGACTTGACATCGATCACTTCGACTCGTTCATCGGGTCCGTAAAGCTCTGCCACAGCACGGACAGTGAGACCTCGCGGAATGACCATACCCAAGAGGTCTTGACCAAAATCGACTGTTTCTTCAATACAAGTCTCTTGTTCTGGGTGGTTCTCAAGAAGGTCATCGAACATCTCTTGAGACGAAGCCTCCTGTACTAGAGATTCGAACTCTGGATGGTCCGAGAAAACAGGCTCGCGGGAGTTCCAGCAGGCAGGTATAACAATAGGCTCCGTCCACCCATTTCCTCGTTCGAAGTATTCCGCTGTGACCAGCTCAGGCTTCATTCGAGGGAAATTTTCGGGCTGAAATCGGATCTTTCCTTGACGAATGGGCTCGAGATAGTGATGTTCCAACGAGTCAGTGGCAGCTTTGACGAGGCCTTGGTTCAGGCCTGCGTAGTCAATGGCTGTTCGGGCGCGCGAGGATTTGCGCACAAAAGTTGTTTGACCGTAAACTGATCGACATTGCCGGCAGATGAACTTGTCGACTGTGCGGACCTCTCGATCATTCTTAAAGCCCGCGCAGACGATATGAAACCACCGTTTGCATCCATCGCAACTGATCCATGTGTCTTCGTCCTGTTCCTCGGTCTCAACTGGGATTCGCACTAGATGGCATGCTCCGCAGCTTGCTTGATTGATATCACTCTCTTCCTCCTTCGTCTTTGGTGGAATTGGCAGGGATTTCTGCGAGAATTGGGGTTCCTGGGAATCCGCCGAAGGATGGATCCCGTAAGCAGTATGATGAGGCGTATCGGCTGGTGGATGCAAGGTTTTGCCTTCGAGTTCGTCCTCCCAAACAATTGGTGGGTGAGTGCCAGAGCTAGTAGTTGGGCGGATTCCACGAACAGCAGGGCGGGACATGAAGGCCGACCCGTCAGAGCGAGAGCGCATGCGGGCATAAGGTACATCCTCAGAATTGTGGCTCATCTTGACATCCCCCTGGCCTGGATGTCCAACGGCAGAAAACCCGACCCGAGCTTGACGAATCGCGTCGCCTGCGTAGTGGTGGAAGGTCTCGTCGATGCTGACTCGTTTTGGGTGGTTACTCGGGTGAAAATTGGTAGGTCGCGCGAGATTGAGTAAAAGCTCTGCATCAGTTGTCATGCTTTCAAGCCCAGCTGGGTGTGGGTTCTCCGTCAGCATTCCTGGGCCCGGGCGGTAGGGTGAGGGATGTCTCGCCGACCGTGCCCGCTTGGCTGGTCGTTCAGACTCCGCGGAATCGGGTGGAAATAAGGGTATTGTCGATCGAAGGTTGGGGGAAGGCGGGTTGAGAGGGAGTGATGCGAAGGTTGGACTCGTTGCGAGGGCGATCGTCGCAAGTGTGTCGATAGTCGAGCTTGAGCGGCCATGGCCCGATCGTTGGTTCGAGCCATTTTCTGCGGCAACATGTCGATTGTGATTCGAAGGACGCTGGTCGCGATCAAGACTGGCAGCTCGGGGAGGGCCGCGGCTGGCCCAAGAGGAGTTTAAATCGGCGGTTGTGGATGGAGTGATAGGTTCGACAGCGCGGAGAGGAGGGGACGGAGTACGGTACTGCGGCGGGCGGCCGCCGATGGGATTCGCGAATGATGCCGCGCTCATCATTTTCGCAACGCGGTGAAAGTATAGGCTAAAGAAAATTGAAGATGAAGGGTCGGAGGTGCGAAAAGATGCGCTTGCGGTAGGTGGGTGCAAAGCGGGGATACTGGACCACACGGGCTAGCGAGAGGCCGGCGCAGGCGAAGGGAATGTCATTCCTGGCAGGAGAACATGCGCAAGACAGACCGCAGGTATATGATTGATATTTGATGAAAGATTGAGGGCGAAGTAGGAGGTCGACGGTAGTCGCAGAGCGTTGAGGGGGTTCGAATCGAGCGGCGGGAGGACAAAGGCGCCGAGAGTCGCGCCGCAACCTGCGGGCAGATAAGGAAGGGAATCGAATGAGATCCAGTAGCCAGGAATCGTTTCCCGTCAACTGGATGAGAAGTGACAAGTATGCGAATGGATGAAGCGCCAAGAGCGAGAGAGGAGTGGATGAGCGCGAGGTGTTGAGGCGATGGAGGAAGCGGGAGTCGAGTAGCAACTTTGAAGGTATGTATACGGTACAGCTACGGGCTCCTACATTACGTTCATGTCCAGCTAACCTTTTACGGGAAAATGTCTAGACTGTATATATGAAACATAAAGATCAAAAGGCACTCATTTCAACATACGATTGTGTTTACTTGGTTGTTTTCCCCCGTGCTCATTTCTCTGTAGTCCAAAGGAAGTTGGCGACGCCGAGAGCGTCCGTCTCGATGATACGGTCCGATACCATCACGATACCATCACGTGCTCAGTTTGGCAGATCACCACACTCGCTGAGATCACATGACCTGGTCACATACGGTTTAAGAACCAAATTCCACTAAACCGGGATAAGTAAGCGCACCGCCAAGACAAACCTCGTGGTTGTTCTTGTGCCTTGCTCTGATCTTCTGCCCCTTCGCTATTCCAACCTGCAACTGATACCTCGCGTATCTTTCTTGTCAAAACTTTCATTCAACATCTTTTAGGACTCTCTCACCTCTGAGAATGAGCCGAAAGCTCGCCCCCGAAGCCAATCGGTATGTGAGAATACTTTTTCCATGCCCCTCCCCCGATTCTCGGCACAAGTTCCATTTCACCATCGAATGCTTGATTGTTGGGTCTAGGAGATCCCTGGAACTTTGAAGTGACTAGCGCTAATCTTATGCCCCTGCTTTTACAGGATTCTCTTCGTCAAGAACCTCAAGTATGTACCTGAATTTCGCCGCTTTGCACCGGCTCGCTTTTCCGGCCGATCAGCCCTGCAACTCGCCATTTGCGATCGTGATCGGATCGCTGACATCTTTTCAACAGCTATAACGTAACAGCCGAGCAACTTTTCGACCTATTTGGCAAATTTGGCCCCATCCGGTAAATAGTCATCCATGGTCTCCCAAGGTTGTATTAGAACCAGATCTAATACCATTTCATTTGCAGGCAAATTCGCCAGGGTATTGCCAATACCTCGAAAGGGACCGCATTCGTTGTCTACGAGGACGTTCACGACGCCAAGCAGGCATGCGATAAGCTTAATGGTTTCAACTTCCAGAACAGATACTTGGTCGGTACGTATTGCACATTGATCAAATGAGCACCGGGAATCATTTGGAAGCGACTGATTTCCTATATTATAGTCTTGTATCATCAGCCAGAGAAGATGGTCCGCACGAAAGAGGACATTACGGAACGGCAGGAGAATTTAGAACGGCTCAAACAGCAACATGGGATAGAATGATGTGACGAATTCCTTTTCTCTTCCCTCTGCTAGCATTTAGCTGCGCACGGTATTGCAACGGCTTTACTATTCAACCGCGGCTTGGTTGAGGGGTTTCCGGCGTTTTTTATTCCCTGGGGGTTTTTTTTCTTATTTCAGAGGGTTTGATGGTGGGCGAGGCTGGTTCTGGGTATCATATATTGACCCAGAAATTATGTGAACAACACGCCGGCGAGATCTGATTTCTTCTTATGTCTATTCTATTTAACCACTACTACTATTACTCTCTTCGTCAATTCGATCCTCCACTTTGCTCCAACAATCTCTATGCTATAGCCAGGTGCTAGATGCAAAAGACCTTTTGAATACCACATTCCTGGAAGTGACGAATGATTCGAATCTGGAGGTATTTCGAGCTTCTGTATCTGAGATTTACAATATGAAGCTAAATCCAGGGTCTATCTACCTAAGGCGTACCACTGCTACTCCATTTTAAGGGGTTCTAAGCTTGCCATCGACTTAATTTACAAGAATAGATCAGGATCAAAAGCAGATGGCAAAGTAGTAATATCATGCCAAGACCCTTGAATGTACTCCGTACTGTGCCATTAAAAACCTTGGGAAATGTTATCAGCCTTGTCGATCCCGCTGCGGGGACACCGCCTAGGACCCCAAGTGGAAACCCTTTCACTTTGTTCATTTCTCTTTCACAAGTCCATGTAATTTATTTTCACTACACCCAAGAACTGCTTTTGACTTCAGACTGGTACCCATTTATTCACCTTATTGCCACTCATTTCGATGTCACGCGTATGACGTCCGGCTCAGCCCGCCGTCTCCGCCTTCAACCAACCTTCCTAGGTTACTAGCCTACTGTTATTATCTGGTTTCCAGCATATGTTGCGTTTCAACTACGCTTTCTCGCTACCTTGCTGGTTTCACTAGACCAAGAAATAATGAGCGACACGACCGGCTCGTTGGCTTCGATAGCCACGACCACGCTTATCGCTGCTACTGGTACCCTAGCTATTCCAACACCCTCTCACACACTATACTATCATGCAGCAAATTCTTCAAGTCCAGGACAGGACTCGAATGAAGAGGCAGGAGAATGCAAGTTACTTGGTCCATTCTCTGTGTTTGTGCAGATTGCTCTTGGCGGTCTCGCATTATTATCTCTAGTCTTCAAGAGATGGAGAGAACGACCACAACGCCCGGTGAAGGTCTGGGCCTTTGACGTCTCAAAACAAGTCTTCGGATCGGTGATGCTTCATATGTTAAATCTGGTCATGTCGATGTTTTCTGCGGGTCAGCTGGAGATTCGAAACTCATACAAGCCGAACCCATGCTCGTTCTACTTACTGAACCTGGGAATCGACGTGCGTCTCTTAACGTTTTTGTTTTGATCTCTTTTGAGGAGCTGCTGGCTAACTGGTGGAACAGACTACGCTCGGTATCCCCATTCTAATCCTGCTTCTCCGTGTGCTCAATTATTTGGCATCCTACACACCTCTTGCGAACCCCCCAGAATCGATAGAGTCGGGAAATTATGGCCAGCCCCCACGGGTAACATGGTGGCTCAAACAGGCCATAGTTTATTTTATGGGATTGCTTGGCATGAAGATATGTGTCTTCTTCCTCATCCAACTCTTACCTTTCATTGTCAAAATCGGTGACTGGGCTCTAAGATGGACAGAAGGCAACACTGCTGTCCAGATCTTTTTCGTCATGCTTCTTTTCCCAGTCATCATGAACGCCATACAATATTATATCATCGACATATTCATCAAGAAACCAGTCTCACAGTACGCGGTGGATGACACGATTGAACATGCTACCACAGACGATGATGCTGCCCGTCGGGAGGCTCTTCTTGCCGGCCTGGACGAGACATATTCATCTGATTCCGATGATGAAGAACCTGGGAAATCTTCAAGAACCACCTCGCAGCCAAAGGCTACTGCAGACGCTCTCGCTCTACAAGAATCCGAGCACTTACTTCCTGAGGATCACAATCCTGTTCCTCCATATGAACCTCCGAGCTCGAGTAGCAGTGGAGATGAGCCTGACCCAAAGGCTAGTTCAACATATCACTAAATATTCATTTGTGTTCAGGCTTTGGGAAATTCATATTTGCTTTTTTTGTGGTGTTGCTGGTGATTTTTTTTTTGACGTGTACACGATTATTTCGCTCTTGCATATTAGTATCATTGTCAAATATCATTTATCCTGCTACCTTGTGTACACAAATCCAGGCTGTGCATTTGTATACCGGCTATTCGTATCCCTTGGTGTTGAATCATATATTACAGTTATATTGAGACTTCGTATCCAGAAGAATATTGAAGCAACTAGATCTAACTACTCCGCAGTCTACTTCTTGTCTTCACCCAATATTCTCTTGCCGCCTTTTTTTCATCCACGAAAGGGAAAATACTTTACTGCACTAGTAACTACTCCGTAGTTAACTAAGTAGTTAGTTAGTTATCCCTGTTTGATGCCCTAAAGCCTAGGCAGCATACCATAGGCCGCCTTCTACACCGCCATGTTCTGCCGATTCTGGAAAAATCAAAGAAGAAAAATATTCAAGCTCCGCCTGAGGGACATTCGCAGCCTACAATTGCATTATTGCGTTCCAATATCGACTTGGTGATCGTGTCTGCAAGCGGCTGTTCTTGAGTTGCAGATAACTCCACACGAACCACCATGCCTAACGTAGGGCTGAAGGAAAAGCCCAAGCGGACGACCGCCCGGTCTCCGTTCGAGAACACTACGGCCAATTTCCGCCCGGAGGACTCAGATGTCGAGATGGACGACGAAACGAGCTCTGATGAAGACGATATACCCGAGAAAGATGAGGCGGAGAAGAAGCTAGAGCGTATGCTTTTTGGCGATGATGAAGGGTTCATGGGCGCATTGAAGGACCAACAGGCTCGCGAAGCCGGTATGGCTCTTACTCTGCACAGTGATGAGGAGAGCAATGATGGCGAAGATGATGAGGAAGGTGAGGGCCAGGATTTGGCTGCTCTAGCCGATTCAGACGTATGCGACTCCGTCCCCATGCATTCACAGATTTCAACCTTTCGATCTAACAATTCCACTTTCATCTAGCTTTTCTTCCTTGACTCCGGTGCACCCCCCGCCACTGATTTCATACCATCGCCGGAAACCCCGTCCGATGTTGAGGACGACGAAGAAGAGGACGAGCCCGCAGTATGGTACGACAGTGACGACGAGCGCCTCGCTGTGTCGCTAGCAAGCCAAGCCAGGCTGCGCAAACTGCGCAACACCGAAGCCGAAGATGTAGTCAGCGGTAAGGAATACATCCGACGACTGCGCAGACAGTTCACAAGCCTGCACCCGACACCGGAGTGGGCCACGCCTGAACTCAAGCGTCGCAAGACGGACTCGGACTTGGATGCAGACAGCGATATCGACTCGGATGACGAGAACGAGAACCTCTCCATGCAGCCTCTAGCCAAGCTCCTCCAAAATGCCTCCGATCTGACACGCATAGAAGACAACGCGCGCTCCGGCGGAAAGCGCAAGCTGCGCCAGGAAGTCATTGACATTCAGAGACTGAAGGACATCGGCAAATCCCAACCCTCATCCGTCGACTCTCTGAACTTCCACCCGCACTACCCGCTCCTGCTCTCTTCTGGACCAGCCTCCACCCTTTTCCTGCACCACATCTCTCCTTCCGCACCCGCTCCCAATCCCCTCCTCACCTCCCTGCACATCAAGCGCACACCAATTCACACGTCTGCCTTCGCCGCACCCACAGGCAACAAGATCTTTGCCTCGGGCCGCCGCCGCTACTTCCACATCTGGGATCTGGATACCGGCAAAATCGACAAAGTCAACGGCTCCTCCGATCGCAAGGAAGAACAAAAGTCTATGGAGCGCTTCAAGCTCTCGCCATGCGGCCGCTTCGTCGGCCTTGTTGGCACAGCCCGCAAGGGCGGCGGCTTGATCAACGTCTTGGACGCCAACACCGCCCAGTGGATCGCACAGGTGCGTGTGGACGGCCGCGGTGGTGTCGCAGACTTCGCCTGGTGGTCTGATGGCGAAGGTATGACGGTCGTGTCGAAGAATGGTGAGGTCTCCGAGTGGGATGGGCGTGTAGGCCGTGTTGTGGCGCGCTGGGTCGATGCTGGTGCTGTCGGTACGACCGTGCTCAGCCTTGGTGGTCGCTCTGGCCGTACTCAGCTTGGTGGTGATCGTTGGGTGGCGATTGGTTCTTCGAGTGGTATTGTGAACGTTTATGATCGTCGCGATTGGGCGGCTGCGTATGCGAACGCTTCTGCTGCTGAGAAGGATTCTCCGGCTCAGTCTGGTATTCCGCGCAACCCTGACCCTGTGCGTGTGCTCGACCAGCTCACTACTCCCATTAGCCATTTGGTCTTTGCGCCTGATGGGCAGATGATGGTTATGGCGAGTCGGTGGAAGCGTGATGCTCTGCGTCTTGGTATGTTTTCTACCTCTGGAGCTTTTTCTTGCATGTGTTCTTTGCTAACGATTTTTCTTTTTCATAGTTCACCTTCCTACCTGCACGGTATACCGTAATTGGCCTACTTCGAACACGCCATTGGGCCGTATTTCCTCCGTGGCTATTTCACCGAATTCGGAGCAGTTGGCTGTCGGTAATGAGCAAGGTAGCATTCGACTCTGGGAGATTCGGGGATAGAGGTCCTATACTGATAAAAATATTTATGTTTTCTTGTCATATATTTTCTACCCTGATAAGGGCTCATGCTTTCCATTATGTTGTACAGTCACAGCCATAAATCAGTATGGTCATTCTACCTTATACACTCCAGTGTGGTCTCTGGTATCAGGCGCTGCCTAGACCTGGATCCCAATCACCCATGGACCTATTTTGCGGCTATAAATTAAATATAGGTAGGAGCTGACGTTTAACCAAATAAACACGCAATGGTACTTTTATAGGAGGCCAATGGGGGTTTTTTTTGGAGATTGTTGGTAGCTTTCTAGCAAAGAGAAAGCAACTCGCAGAACGCCCGGCATCCGAAAGCAAGTAGGGCGGGAAACCAGAAGCCAGTAAACACACAGTAGCACTTGCAGGTTGTGTTAAATCAAATGAAGGTCATAGTTTGATTCGTGAGAGGGTTCTATACTGTTGGCCTTGGTCAAGGATTTCCAGTAGCAAAAGGGGTATCTGGGGCAAACGTGAAATAAAGCGCCGAAAAAAAAAAGATATATCAGCAAAAGTCGTCTCCATGGTGATTTGCTAAATTGGAATGGGTATAAATTTGGGAATTTTGAGGATAATCCGACCATAGGGGGGGACTGGGCAAATAAGTCGTTGACCGTGACAGATAGGCGATCAATTAACTAGATCCCCACGAAAAGCTACCCCCTGGCCCGCTCGAGCCCCATCGCTGAGATCGCTTCCCTCGGTCGATATAGTTTTTAATGACACAAGGAGCACGGTCGGGGCCCTGGCACACCTTGTGACGGTTGAGATGTTTGAACTTTGGGCCAAGGGGACCATTCACGAAATGATACTGGCCTGCAAATCGATACTGACGAGAGTCACCTAGTGGGTAGAACTTGTCACCCCAGTGACCCCTGTAATGGAACCATTCCGTTGGGGCAGAGGGAGTGAAGGTGGATGCCCGCAGATTCTCGTTGGCAAAGTCATAGGTGTAGGCCTGCGAGTTGAGGAGGGGATCCCACAGTGGACCGCGGTCGGTTACATCGTGCAGCAGTCCCCAGGGGAGAATATACTCGTGCACTCCGCTCGTGGCGTACATGGCATGGCTACCCTCGGCAGAGTAGATGACGGGCTGGCAAAGTCAAGTTAGTGAGTTAATCCTTACTATTGATGTCGTTCGGGACTCACCCGTTTCCCGAGCTTTTCAACGGCTTCATAACTATAAGCCTCCCCGCCCTGGTGGGCGCTGAAGAAGAGCGCTTTCGGTTTGCCATTGTGGAATCGAACAAGACAATGCTCCCAGTCACCAACATGATTGCCAAACCGCACGTTGACAACAGTGTTACCGAGATTGAAGCTGTAAAAGTAGAACCAGAACGCATCGACGATTCCGTTGCCTTTATCCATCACCACCAGGATTGCAGGGGCATCGCTTCGACCACCGGCACCCTCATTGTAGATTTTCTCTCCGCCATAACGTTTACGGATTTCTTCTTTGAGTATTTGCTGGGCTTGAAGATGTTCATCGGTGTTGGATTGGTGCGCAGCGACAGTCTCTTGTTGCATTTGAAAATCATACCACTTGGCACGATCTTCCTCCGTGTCACCCGGAATATCACCATCGATCCGACCATCCCAATCAGCCCAGGACTCTTTTTTGTTGTTTGCATCTGTTTGCGGGATATTTTGATCACCCTCCAGCCACGGTGGTCGCGTCTTTACATCATCATTGCTCTTCAAGAAAACATGCCTGCCCCTGTCCCACTTGTTCAACTCATCCAAATCGGCCAGCGTCGGATGGTTCCATTCGGCCTCAATTGGCGTGTAATTCAGGGTTGGAGTGGTGTGATGCAAGTGCTCTGCGATATCCCCAGGCCAGAACTGCTCGCCAGAGTAAAGGTGAACGAGTGGGGCATAGTGAAAAACATAGTCCGGGATCTGCCGCCGAGCCCGCTCTTCGGCATCCCACTCGGACTCACTAGCCCCGCTAAGCCACCAAGAGCGCCATGCCTCTGGCTCGGCATCTTGCGCATTTACCCACTCCGCTGGATCACAATGTCCAAATTCGCCGTGTGCGGTTTGTAAATGGGCTGCACCACAGATGCCGAGCCATCGGCAGGATTTGCGGTCAAACCACGAGCGCGAGCTCGCAATCCAGCTCCGCTCCTCCCGATCCTCGGCAGACCAGACAAAAGCAGCCGGCCGGACTACGTGGAGTATGCTGTTGATGGATACATAAGCAATCAGGGTCGAGAGAACAGCAATGGTTGCCTTGGCCTTCCGGGTCATCTGCTGGAGCGAGTCGACATAGACTGTCAGGGCCGAATACCTATGTGGGGTATGTTCATAGACTGTGATTTCGGGAATTCCAGTCGAGGCTAAGGGTTCAATGCAGTGGGAGTCAAGTGATAGGGCTGCAGTGGTTGGGCATCCCCCGGGAACTATGGTGGGACGAGAGATAACGAGAGTTGGAACGAGGGCGCACAACAGGACCGCGAGGTTACCTATATAAAATGCACAACCCTTTGTTAGCCCGGCTTTCCGAGTCTAGCTGGGGTTTAAATCCCGATTGATAATTTTAGAGAAAAACGTATAAGAAAAGGAAAGAGAGACGGCAAGGATAATTTAATATCTCGAAATGGCCAGACCGGGAGCCTGCGGAAATGCATAGAAGTCATGGCCAAGCCGGATGCGATATACCGAATGCATATAACAGCTCATCCGTCCAGAGCCGGAGCGGAAGAGGCGGGAACTTACGAAGAGATGATCCCATTGTCCCAGTTGTCCAACTTGTTGCGGTGAGGAAATAGTGTGAGATTCTTTTTTTCCCCCATAAGGCTGAAGGAGCAGGAGTGGGTATAACTTTACTTGCAAGATTGGTTCCAGACAAGGCTGTATGATGAATGATATATAACATTTGCTTAGATGTTCATTGTATTTGAGGGAAAACAGCCAATCTACAAAATAACCCCTCCATCTGAAACACGAAAAGAAAATAAGCAAAATTTGATGCCATATTTGCCACTATGTCCCATTTATGTGTTGATTATAACCCGATGTGGAAGAGAGGGGAACTCATGAAGCTCCTGGGGTACCTGGTTGGCCTCACCGCTTGCAGATAGCTGACTCAGCTGTATCTTATCTCTACGGGCTTTTCGTTCCAGGCCCCGACTTTGACCTTGCATGAATTCATGATGGATACAATGGTTGAGTCGGAATCCGATGGAGAATATGAATATGAATATGGCACAGAGACTGAGGTGGGAATGATTCACCTTGTCTTCTCATAATGCTGCTAATCAAGTGGCAGACCTTTTATCTCAACCTGGACCTGACCGCCCACCATGGCCCAGTGCGCCCCCCACGTCGTCGTCCAAAGGAAGCAGCATCTTTGGAGAATACACAGAACCCCGCAGACGATATGAGCCAAGGATTTCCAAGCGAAGCTTACCATCCGATCGAGAGCGCCGAGACAAGCAGCCTCCCCAACGAGCGGATCCAAATTCTCGACCTTCACACAACCAACCCAATCATCTCATACTACAACCAAATGTTCAGTTGCTCCTGGGCTGATCAAATTGGCACTGAGCTAGTTTTTGCCAGCCCAGAAACAGAAACCGACACAGAAAATCACTTCCCGCCATCGCTACACCGTGGACCATCCTACGAACTTGTAGCTGCCAACAGCGTGAAGATACTCGGTCGGAAGGCACACCTTGCCCCCAGCGCTGGACCAACAATAGCCCAAGGCTTTACCGAAGGACCCAACGCAGGCCCTGACCCAGAGTCCGCGTCTTCTCAAGGAGCCGATCACCTCGGCGTACCCCGACGTCCCACAGGGCAATCCCACCAGGCGCAGTTCCTCCACCGTTTGCAGCAGATCAAAAACGCCAAAGGAGAGGGTGATACCGTTCGCACAGTCATGAGTACACGTCGGCAGGTGAATATGGCGGACAGACAGCAAGGCTGGGCCCGCACCGAGGCACAGCTCGCCGAGATCGAGCGGTTGAACGAACGTGCTTCGAGGGGGGATTTAGAGGCCAAGGCGACCCTTGAGCTGCTGATTCAAGAACTCAATCAAGAGCTGAATCCTGATGAGTCACAGTCTGATTCTGACTCGGATTTGACATCTGACAGTGATGATCTTACCTCATGAATGTGCAGATTGATAGTGTGCTGACATGGACACAGAATCCGGTTCTGACTTCTGTGTTTTCAGTCAATTATCGCCTGAAAAAAGCCACCGGGTCTCAGAACCACACTAAATCTATGCCGTAGTCTCTACGCTTTAACTACGTAGCCGTGCTGTGCTGTCACATGGAATCATTCCGGGAACCAGGAACCAGGAACCGAGGAGCAGCACTGATGAGGAGATATTGATACCCTTGCTGGAGCCAAACAGGCTACTACCGTGATGGAGAGACAGCCGATTTTTACTTTACATAATACCGGAGGAATGGTATCACGACCCGGGACAATCATTTCAAGCAACCACTGGGAATGACATGGCCCACCCAACTCGAATGGCCCCATCGATGGAGCCATCTTAGCCAGTTTACCACCCAGGTGGATCCAGATGGTAACGTCATCCCCAAACCCAAGGGAATGACATCCTTTCCATTGAACAAAATCACCGATCTCGCAATAATCCAACAATATGTAGAATATACCGTCTACAACATAAATTTCACTTCATACCAATTGTATGCTATATATAGTGTTTCCCCTTTCAGCATCCAGAACATCTGCATAGATCACAGAGCAGGCTATGCCACATCTATTTCCTGAATGCGAGACTAGTGACGTGATCGGCAGATCCTCACATGCAGTAACCAGATGGTTTGGGATTCGCGTCGGACAGTAGGTTCCTAGTCTAACCGATATCTTGTACGGAGTATAATGTACTGGGTAATTTGTATTCTGGGCGCATGAAAGTACTAGATTGTATTCTATTACTCCGTACGTGAGTCGCAATTACATCGTATCTCGGACTTCCGAGGTTGAATGCAAATATCGTACTGCCTTCTATAGTTATACTCCTCAGTAGCAAAAGGTAGTACAGTAGTCACTGTGTACTATATACCGGGCAATAAGCATAGCAAAGTGCCTATCAACCCCATCAAGGTCACACAAAAGCATAGTATAATAAGAACATCAATTCTCTGATTTCTGATTTGAAAGCCCAGGGGAAAAAAAAGAACAAAACATTACTGAAAACACCAATTCCCCAGACTTTTGAAGGCGCCCAGACACCTGAAACCAGAACCAGATAATAATTGTCCCGCGCCGTCATGCAACGCTAAATCCAACAAGCTACACGCAAACGAAAGATGAAAACCAAAACAAGACATGAGGCTAACAAGCATCGCAGATATCAAGTCAAAGACGGGTAGTGAAAAAGAAACCAAGAGCACAAACGGACAGGATGGGCGAATCCGCCAAACAGTCTCACATGTCCATGTGCGCAAGACCATTATCCGAGGATATTGAATGATGGTACAATAACTTCTTCAAGTAAAGAAGCCCAAGAAGGGGATTTATCGCAGAGCGATGGCGAGAATGAAGCCCAAAATGAAAGAGAAGAGAGGTTTAATCACTCCAGGCTCAAGTTGGGGATGTTATTGTAACAAGCCTTGCCCTTGGCACAGGCAACGGGCGATGGTGGAGGCGCAGGAGGCATGCCATCGATGAGGACTGAGCGGGTCTTTTCTGCCTTTTGGGTCGAGGCTGTCATCATGGCGCGGGAGAGATCCTGCGACATTGAGAAGGAGGGAGGCATGACGGGGGTTGCGGTCTTGGTTGCGACGGAGGCCATTATTTTGGGGTTGGATTTCGTGGTTCGAGGTGTAGAGATTGAAATGGTAGTTCAAAACTCTTGAGGTTTAAGCGCTAAGTAGGTTGAAGAATGAAGTTGTTGCTTGGTTGGGTTTTTGTACTTGGGGAAAGGATGGTGATCGACAACCTCAGCTCGAAGCTGAGAAGGTTGAATTATTTTTGAGCTGGATTCACAAGATTGAATGTCAGCTTGATATTCGTGCAGAGTGCTTGTGCTTTGTACTTGGGATCTGGCATATGCTCCGTATAGATGGAGCTTGTGGCTCCGAAGTTGCCCGAGTACCCCCGGTTTCGGGGGATCGGGTCGGAGCGATGTGATATGGGTAGTGACGGGAGTTATACTTACAAGGATCAATGGAAGTGGATTCGGGTATGCCCGAGTAATGTAGGAGGTGATAAGTGAGTTGGTTGTGATGAGATGATAGGATGTAGTTGTGATGGCGAAGGGGGGCCCAATTAACTTGATTGGGATAATAATTTTGTTTGAGAAGACTTGAAGATGATCAGAGCGAACGATGATAGCAACACTGTCGACAATGCTGCGTATGTGAAAATAGTTGTAGTGTATGAACAGAACTAGAAAAGTAATAGAGATTATTTCAGGGTCAATGGGTCGTTTATATTTTTTCCAGACCATAAATAATGATCGTTAAAAAAAAAAGAAAAAAAAGATATGAGACACCCCCAAAAAAAGATAATCAAATCAAGAAAAAGCCATCCCCGTAAAAGTGTGGAGGTATACATTCCCTGGGGAAGCATCAAAGTACCCAGTACATACCTGGACCTAATGCTTACTCCCTGGAGATCTGCCCGCCAAGCCTAACCGCCTCATTCTAAACAGCCCAACAACCCAATTATCGAGGGAGACATTCGTCGGAAGAGCGGGAGCCCAACCCCCGAAACCCAGTCGGGGAGATAGAAAAAAAATATATTAAACATCTTAGATTGAACAAAGGAGATGGAGCCTTACGCGTTAGTGTGTGTGGGGAAGAAGACCAGGGGTGAGAAACTGATCAATCAACCAATATGTACGGAGTATTGTGTTATTGATATTATTTGCCATAGAAACAGCTAGCTTGGGGGGCTAGAACAGCCAATCAAGCCAGGTGAATCGGCAAGGCCCCTTGAGAGCTAAAGACTTAACAGTGTTTCTCATGATTCTACACCTTCTAGCGTCCTTCCTCGAGCTCACTTTTGGACCTCGGCAAGCGGATACGGCGATCCTTTCGAGAAAAGGACCCATCGACCAAATTGCCGGGGCTATCTAAGGATCCTTCTCTATTGCGGTGTAGGAGATCGGCTTGAGGGTGGCGAAAGGAATCGGAGCTCTTTGATATGCCCTGTAATATACTGTTCCGGGGAAAGATATTACCCTGACTTTCCGATGATAGTCCAACTGGCGTTTTCACCGTTGATTGAAAGTGCTCAAATCGGGAACCTTTGCTCTTTTGACGTGTTCATCGAATTCCGAGGTGCATGGTTAATTAGGATGATCCTCCAAAGATTGAGACATAATTACCTACACTCGGTTGGATCACATAACAAGGACGGCTGACCTACCGGTATACCCGCCTATAATACTCCGTATGACCCCATAAATTCACCAGGATGAGATAGTATATTGCACAACGCCACAAACCAACCTGTCTACCTACGTACTCCGTAATTATTTAGGAGCTTCGCTTAAATCTCAAGGGAGAGTGGATCACGCCAGGGGTCGAAACAGTCTGGGGCGCATATCCAATCCTTTGTTTAAGATGTGTTTACACCGTATACGGACTAGATGACACGGGGTTTACGGAGTACGATGTGTCCGAAGCAGGGCTACGATCCATAATCTAGTCTTTCTCTGAATTACGATTCACAGTCGACCTCCTTGGTAAATTCAGGGGTACAAAAACGTTGAGCTACAAAAGTACCAAAATCCCCTTGACCGTTCTACAACGGCGTTGATCGACGTCCGAATAGGGAACTCCACAATCTTTCTCCCCCAGATTCAAGGGGCGTAGTGATTTTACTATTTTCAATCTGCAATGCACTCCACTTCTCTGCCACATACGTACGCACAATGCATCGTTATCTGGGGGAAAAGGTAGGGGGAGGGGGTCGAGTGCTACTCTAGAATCTCTAGAATGTCCATTCCACTGATTTCCTGGGTGCCGGGTCTCCGACGGTGAATCAGGGCTCATTTCCCGGGAATTTTGGACCCCCTTCGATCTCACATTTCCTTGTAGTATCATAATAGCAACACTAATACATTCGAGGGAGTATCTTATCGTGGTATCAGCAACTTCTATGCTATGTCCGGTATACTTGCATATCGAAGTGCACCATGTACCTCATGAAACGGTCGTAGATAGCATTCTTTTTGTGAACACGTAAGATAAGGTCTCGGCGTGGTGACCTGTCCTGCTCACCGCTCGTTTAAAGATACCTTTGACTATGTATTCCTTTTCGATAGAAAGTAGAGAGAGGTCAAAGAGGGGAACCGATGAGTTGGCTGCTCAGTGTGTTAGATAACCACACCATTGTCTGCATTTGTGGCGCCAAGTGTGGGATGGATTCATCAGGTACAAGATGTACAACACATATTATGCATGACAGTGAGCTGACGTGATCATGGGCTGCTAGCTAACAATTCGGACTACTTGAACATACATAAGACCAACGTTGGTCTGCCCAATACGTCAGATCAACTCGTCTGCCTTATTTACAGATGGGATATCCTTGTAGGTGCCAGACCTTCAAGATTTCTGGTAGGAGGATAGCAGAGATAGTCTTAGGCATACTTTCAATGGGTACCTTGGTGTACCCCCCAAGCCAAATGATAAGGCGAACGCAGGGGATACTGGGATCGCAAAAGATCGAGACCAGACAATCGACCTCGCTCTACCGGGCAGGATGCCCGATCTATATATTGGCACTGACGAATATCGGTTGGGAATCGCGATCTATTCTGGCCTTTGCACGTCTTTCGAAGATCTGTATCTAATTATAAGTCTTGGGCTACTAAAATCTTTCAGGAACGAGTGCCCTACTTTGCACCTGCAACTCTGAACTCTATGCCATTTCCAACCTTGCAGAGAATATACTTTCGAAGACGCGACCTGACTTATCTTCTAGATGATCTTCTGACCTACTGGTGCCCGTGTCCTGTCTTGAGACTTGACACTTGAATGCACAAGGGTCTCCCTAACTGCCAACAGTAGCCGTGATCGTGGCTAGCGTCTGAGCTCGTGTTAGATGGTGACACACCCCTGGCAAGCCTTGAGAAAGGGGAAACCATTCTATGTTTCCAGTGAACCGTGAACCAGGTAAAGT